CATGTGTGAAAAAGAGCTTCATAGCTCATCGGATTCCTCCAGTAAAAATAGAGATTCCGATCATCGTAGTCATCGTAACATTTTTATTTAAACAAGCTGAGTTGTCCTTTGAGATCAAAAGTAACTTTTGAGAGTCAGTTTGGGGTCGCAAAAATGTCATTTACACACGCAACTGGTGCGGTGGTTAGCACACTGGCAGCGGAGTGTGGTATCTGAACCATTCATAGGCCTTCCTTCACCAGCCCGCACCGACCAGTCTGGTGAAGTATGATCAAACAAACTCCCGTGATAGACACTGCATGGTGAGGCCTTCATCCAGCAGCGGATCGACCAAGGACTGGACAATATTAATTATATTTTTACAAATTCACGCAGATTTACAATTAATTACAAAACTCATCTCAACACGTTGCCTTTTATCTCGACAGTACTGATGTTTACACACCGCACGAGGTACTGTGCTCATTTAAGGCTGAGTCAACCTAGTGGAGGTCAAGGACCGGTCTTAAATATTCTGCACGGTTAGTAATCGTAAGCGGGTTTCGAAGTCTCATCTCTGGGTTCGTTGCTTCGCGCTCCAACCGCTACACCACCGCTCCCCACATAGATACATACGTACGCGCACGACCAAATATAACACACGTACATGGATCTAATCGCTCCCATCTTTCTTACGTGCACAAAGACAAAGATCCCCCAGAAGTGTTTTTAGCGAGCGTCACCTATGAAGGCCACACACCACCGCCTTTTTATCTCCCCAATGGTTATGCCTTACACACCATACCAGGTGTTCATTTGGGGTCGAATTCGGGGGAGGCCCAGGACCGGTTCAGATAACACTGGTCAACACACTTTTTCTGGCATAAGGTATTCCAACGGTTATAATGTAATTTTGGGGTGCTGATTCTAAATCTGGCATCAGTTTTTGTCTATCAAATCAGGTTTTTGAGATATCAAATATTGCATTTTCAATAAAAACTGCAGAAGAAAAATATTAAATAAATGTGGATATCTACATAAAATTATATTATAAACGCACTATCCTAAAAATACAGCACCATATTTTAACACTAAATCAGTCACTGGCTCGCATCAACTTGCAATCATAAGTGACGTAGTTAATTTCGGGTAAAATCAATGAAAATGGGGTATGCCCATAGCATAAAAATGAGATGTGATAGAGCAAATCTCCGATCAGATTTGGAATCAGCACCCTGAAATTAGCTGCAAAAGTCCAGGCCAGAATTTTTTTTTTTGTTGACCAGTGTAATCGTCACCGTTGTTGGCCGTGTGCGGGAATCGAACTCTGGTCGCTGGGTCCGTAGCGCAGCGCGCTAACCGCTTGCGCTGCTGCCCCCCATACGTGCACGCGCGACCAAATACAGCGCACACACGTGGAGATCTAATCGCTCCCATCTCGCCTACATACACACACATACACTGTAATAATACACACTCATGAGCTCTGGTGGTCATCCTCTGGGGTGTGTTCCCTTCTTTGCCTGTCATCCCACCAGCAGTCTCATCCATCATCACATTTCCCCTTCTGGGAGTGGTGTCCTGCCTGAGCGTAAATTGCAGCTTATTTTACGCAAGTTTATCTCTGCGTCTCGTCTGCTAACGGCCACACAACAATAACTCTGTTCTGTTTTAATGTTTAATGTGGGGCGGGGGTAGTGGGGATAATTGTGGGGTTGTTGTTTTGGTTCCGCCTGGCTGATTTTTTTCTATGTACGCGTGGATGTTTCGAGCGTTTGCGCGTAATGTTCCGTACTCCGCGAGTCCTCTTTCTTGGCCGGAGCGAACCGAGCGTTATCTTCGATGCGAAGTGAAACGAATGCGAAGAAATGTTACATTTCCCTCCCAACTCCCCCTGCGTATTGCACAATAACTGGCGTTTGTTGTTTTAGCTGCTCCGGTTAAAGTTACCATTTCCTGCCCAAAACGTTGGGGCCTATTTGTTAAGGACCATTGCCTAAAAGGTCTTTCATGACAAATGCAAGTGCGCTCGTGCACGCGCACACACACACACATACACGGCGCGCGCACACACACACGCGCACGTTTGCGTGTACAAACACGTGCACAGAAACCCAGATCCCACCGCCCGTACCCCCCTTATAGGACCGTTGGGGCTAGTGCCGTTTGGTGAGTACCACGGAGACAAAGGTCCCCCATGTAGCCTTTAACTGACTGCTGGGGGAAGTTCTTTTAGCGAGCACCTCCTGAAGCGGCATTGCACGCGGAGGGGATGGGTGGCCTGTACCACGCCTGGCCCCCTTTGTCTCTCTTCAGTGCTCATTTTTACACGGCGCACCAAGTTCTAACATGAGGCTGAGTCGACGTTTGGGTGGAAACCGGGACCGATTCAGGCATCGCTTTCCACTGGGGTTAGCTGTGGCTCGAAACTAAACCCAGGTCATCGGGCTGTTCTGTGTGTCTGTTGAACTTCTTTCACACCGTACGTAGCCAACCGTGCTCATCGTAGGTGCGGGGGAGGAGGAAGGGCATCAAAATAAACACAGTCTAGCAACTGTCTTTTGTATTTTGCCCGTGACCCTAAATTATCCGAAATGCGCCGCACCCAGTCTCGTCGGATCTCGGAATCTCCGGCAGGTTTGAGTGACGCCTGTAGTTGGAAAGGGTTAGCCATCGTGGCTTGCCGGGTGCTGTAGGCGAGGTGGTGGCCAGGAGGTGGCGGTGCTGAGTGCCTCCCTCTCTCGTCTGCAGCAGGCGCGGTGCTGGGTTTTCTCCGGATTCTCCGGTTCCCACTTACTCCCACACGAAGCCAAGCTCTATAAACTAAAAACTATTTTTATTTTACTAGGTAAGGCCCACCGAGCTATGTAGCTCTCTTTCAGAAGCAACCTGGCAATCACAAATGATAGCCCACTGAAGTGGCTTATCCCGTGGAAATTCATAGCAACTAAATACTCGAAATGCGTGATGTTTTCTGAATGTGGAGGGAAAAACCGGAGGATCCGGAGAAAAATCCACGCGACCACGGGGAGAACATGCAAACTCCCGAATATGCAGGTGTCAAAGGTCGGGATTGGGATCGAACTCACGACCTCCCGTATGCCAGGCGAGGTAGTTAACATCTCGCCACCACGGCGCTCATTACTCAAGCAATTCATGGCCAAACAACCCCCAATGTTGCAGGCACCCTCCTGAAAACAAGCCTCCAGAGACTCGGGGGAGGCCTTCGCGGGTAAATAATTGTCATTTTTACATTCAACGTTGTCGGCGGGCACCTGTTAACTGTTTGTACAAGTAAATGACCTTGTTGAATTAAATGTACTTGGATATGAGGGCAATAAAATGGCAATGTATTTGTTGTTGTTAAAAATTAACATAAATGTTATGAAAATGTGTGTTAGTGGGTGGGAGGGGAAATTGGCAGAAATTTAAATTTTTTTCTTCACAGCGATCTTTGAGCTCTGCCAACAATTGCAATAACACAAACAAGCCATTCGGCTCCAAAAAAATACCGCAGTATCGTCATCTTATATCCCAGCCAAGGTTTCTGTAAAAACAACAACGGGCTGGTGTGTGTGAAGAAACGGCCAAGAGCAAATAAAATTGACTTAAAAAATGGAAGGACTACATCAGTGTGAATCGTTCAATGTGAGAAACTTCGAACTCGATAATGCTGCCTATGATAGGTACATTGTGTGTGTGTGTGTGTTTACATGTAATGGGTGACATTTCGGGCGACTAATCGTGTAATAGGTGACAATTTGTGAGGTGCAAGCGACCTGAGAAGGACTTGATGATGTGAAAAGTGACATGGCCGGTCGAGGCAAAGACTAATTACAATTAAAATCCCACACCTTATTTAAAATGATGAGAAAAACTCATCGCGACAGGCCCTCCTGTCTGGGTTTCCCGGAAACCCAAGGCAGCGGTGAACATTGACGACTGTGCCGTGGTTTGACTCCTAATGTGAACGAACCGGACCGGAGTTTTCTCCGTTGTTTTCACCGCTGCCTGATGTGCAATGACCACCGCGGTCTAAGCAATAACGGGGTCGCACACAATCGGCTCTTTTTGAACCGGTGGTCTGGACAAGGCTGGGATCCCCGTACATTCAATGTGGCGATCGAAAGACACACGCGTGCAGGGCAAGGAGGACGTCGTATGAGCAGCACAACTGTTGCGCGTTGTCAAATCTCGAGTCTGTGGTCGAGACAAGGCTGAGATCATTGTACATGTGGTGATCACGCGACATGTGCGCGCAAGGCATGATGAGAGCCGTCGCCTTCCTGCTGCTTGCGAGAAACACACCGTTGCGTGTTGTCATATCTATTTCATGGTAATTAGCGACGACGGACGCATCGTTTATTTGAACTTATTTTGCACCGTACGTAGCCAACGATCGGCTACACACACCTAAATAGGTCAAACAATTTTTTTTTTTTTACCAAGTAAGGCCCATTGAGCTATACAGCTCTTTCAGAAGCGACCTTGCCACAAATGATAGCTGACCAAAGTGGCTTATCAAGTGGGAATTTATAGCAGCCAAATGCTCTAAACGCGTGACATTGATTTCAAATGTGGAGGGAAAAACCGTAGGAACCGGATAAAATTCCACACGACCACGGGGAGAACACGCAAACTCCATATATACAGGCGTCGGGGTCGGGATCGAACCCACGACCTCCTGTATACCAGGCGAGCAAGTCAACATCTTGCCACACACCGCCCTGCCACCTTAACAGCCGTAACCAGTTTCTTCTCCCCCGACTCCCCTCGTTCATCCCCAGGCTCGGCGTGCGGGCTGACGGTGCTCGGCCTGGAGAGCGGCACACTCGCCTCGCTCGACTACCCGCAGGCGTACCCTCGCAACGGCTCCTGCCGCTGGCTCGTGCGCGGCCCGCCGGGCTCCCGCCTGCGCCTGCGCTTCGCCGACTTCCTCGTGCCGTACAACGAGCACTGCCAAGCCGACTACGTGCGCCTGTTCGACGGAGAGAGAGCTTCGAGTGGGTTGGCGCGGCGATGGCGGCGGCGTAGCGGTTTGGCGGGCTGCGCTACGAATCCGGCCACCCGAGTTCGGTCCCCGCTCGTGGGCAATACCAGTGACGAATTTCTGAACCGGTCATTGGCCTCCCCTGGGTCGACTCGGTCTGAAATGAGTACCAGGAGCGGTGTGTAAAAACATCAATCTACCTGGGAGACAAAGACGGCCGGGCGTGGTGCTGGCCACCCACCCCCTCGAGTGCTGTGCCGGCCTTCATAGGTGCTTCTTGCTAACAGCACTTGCCCCAACAGTCTGTGAAGGCTATACGGGGGATCTTTTGTTTTTGGTGGTGGCGGTGGTGGTGCTGGTGGTACAAGCAGCGCTCCGATGTGTCGTGCCTGGTGTTGCTCGTCGTTATGTCCGTTGTTTCGCTCCAATTGCCGGCGAGAAAGGTTGGACCCCATGCCGTACGGCGTGACTGTGGCAAGGCGGTTGGGTGGCAGAGCGGTGGCCTCGCAGCAAGAAGGGCCTCGGTTCGATTCCTGAATCGGGCATCTTTGTGTGTGGAGTTGGTATGTTCTCCCCCTGTTCTGCTTGGGCATCTTCTGGGTTTTGTCCGTAGTTTTTTTCTCCCATGAGCTACAAACGTGCAAAGAGTGTCACTGGTAACGGCCAAACCATCCCCCCAATACTCTTAGGTTTTTTCGGTAAAGTCACGTAGGTAAATAAAAATAATAAAAATTATAGAAATAATAATAGAAATAAAATAATAAATCACGACGTTTCGGAGGCAACACAAGTCTCCGTCATCAGGTGGGACCGTCACAGCTACATTTACTGACGGAGACTTGTGTTGCCTCCAAAACGTCGTGATTTATAATTTTATTGATATTATTATTTCTATAATTTTTATTATTTATTTTTACCGGTGTCACGTGAGAGCAGCAAGTTCGCCTCCCCTGTTGCGAAAAAAACTTGGCAGAGACCCTCCTGAAAAATAGTCTTGAGACTTTGCGAGTCTTCGCTGGCTGAACGGGCGGAGTGGAAACGACTTTGCACACCTCTGCGGTGGCGCAGCTTCTTTACGCGTCGACAGTGCGAGGAGCCGTTTGCTTTTGTCTCGGCTCATCCTCCTGTAACGACCACATTTTTTTCTTCCCGTAAACACGTCGCGATGTTTTTGTGTAATGTTTATATACATGCGCACACACACGCGCATCCCATGTGAGACGCAGAGTCTCTGCCAGGATCGCGCTGTCGGAGAGACGGAGAGGCCGCTGTGAAATATTTCGAATCGACGCGCGCGCGCGCTGTGATGCGTGCGCGTCGAATCGATTTTAAACAACAGCCGGCAAGTGGGTGGTGTGGGGGGGCGGGCGGGGGGGGTATGGGAGGGGGGTAAGTGGGGGGAGGGGTTAGCGGGGGGGGCACAGATGTTTTGTTGTGCGCGTCATTACGCTCGCCCGGCGCAGCGATCTCTTCTCCGCCGTAGCTTCCACCGCGTTTCTCCAGCAACTCCCATGGCAAGAAAACATTCCGTTGCCAAGTTTCACAAATACGCCCCCCCGCCCCCCCACCCCCGCCCCCCCCCCGGAAAAAATATATTAAAGCTGCCCCGCGCGTTATTCGGCAGTGGAAGAAGACGCGATAAAAATTTCAACATTATTTTCACATATACCTATAAATTATTTTATATATATATATGTACCCTTGGTAATGGGGGGATGGCCCATTGGGACCCCAAACCAGAAGTTAATTTTGGTGAGCCCCCCCCACCCCTTTCACTGAACTCTTTAAATATGTAGATTTACACGCACACAGCCAATTGCCACGTGTGGTGTGATCATCGCTGCAGTTGCGAGTCGCGCTACCAAATCCCGTTGGTGCGCGTCTTCATTCGGAGACTCGTTAGCTTCGTCTCGTCACAGTCTGTAGTCGCGCTCTGGTGGTGGTGCTGCTGGTGGTGCAGTTGGTGCTGGTGGTGCTGGTGGTGCTGCTGCTGGTGGTGGTGGTGGTGCTGCTGGTGGTGATGGTTCTGGTGGTGGTGATTCTGGTGGTGGTGATGGTGCTGCTGGTGGTGATGGTGATGATGTTGATGGTGCTGCTGGTGGTGATAGGTGCTGCGAGGCCACACCACCTCCTCGTGTGCCATGCCGCCTTTCATAGGTGCTACTCACGAACAAGCGCTTGGCCTAACAGTCCGCTAAGGCGATAGGGGCGGGGGGGGGGTGATCTTAGTTTAGGTTTTTTTTGCATGTGCACGCAAGCATAGCAACGGCATTTGTCCCAACAGCAACGGCTGGTGGTGGGGGATGTCTTGCGTTTGTACGTCTTTGGTGCGCAGGCCGGTACTGCGGGAACATGTACTACGTGCCCAAGGAGGTGGTGAGCGTGGGGAGCGAGGTGACGGTCGAGTTCCAGAGCCGATCCGGCACCACGGGACGAGGCTTCCTGCTCAACTACGCCACGGAGAAACATGCCGGTGAGCTAAGACCACCGCTTGAGATTGCTCCTTGTCCGCACTCTCGCTCACTCACTCGCTCACTCCCTAGCTCGCTGCGGTTCGTGCTTTCGTTCGGCTGGAATCGGTAACCAGTTCTTGAGTCTCAGAACCGGTCACCGGTTCTGAAAATGATGACCGGTTTACCGTTTAACAACTCTGGTTTAGACTGCCGCGTACAATTTGGTATCTAAAAGGACTGAAGAACGCTCTTCCTTCTGATATTAGGAAGGACTTTTAAATCTAGATTGAAAACTCATTTCTTTCGAACAGTTTTAGTATTTTTGTTTGTTGTCCTTCTCCCGCACCTCCGATTAGCACGGTTGGCTCCGTATCGTGCTAAAGAAGTTCCGCATACATGCATACGTACGTCGAAGCGTCGAGTTTGTAACTGGTCAATGACACTTTCTGTTGCAGATCTCATCACCTGCCTGAGCCTGGGATCTCACTTCTCAGATGAGGCTTTGGAATACAGGTAAATTTGCATGTGGCCAGGTGGCTTTTTTTTTGGGGGGGGGGGGTGTGAGTCTCACAATGACCGTGTCGGAGACCTTGAACCACCACATTCTGTTCTGATTTCGAACCTAGGTTTTAATTACCTGACCGCAATTAAACCAGTTTCTCATTTGCAGCGAACTGGTGGTCTCAGCCCGTTCATCTATGACTGCACAAACAAGCCGTCGTGTTACATTTAGTTGTGCATTCTATGTGGCTAAATTTCAGCCCTGAGCATGATTGTTTTTTTAAAATTAATTTTCTTGCCATGCGATGAACATGTCTGTCTGTCGGGGACGCGTGGAAAAGTTGCGCCACCCCGAGTGTGGACGAGAGATTGCCTGAAGAGGGATCTCGGACAAGTAGTTCTGTGATATCTACTTCCACGGGCCGTTCTCTGACACGCGGAGACGTTAATCGACCGTCTAGAATGGAAGTATACGAGTCTCATTACGGTGGGACTCTTGCCAGCACGACGCGTGAAGGCCCATTCGGGCGTGTCACGACGGACGATGGAAATTGTTTCCTAACAACATGAGAGACTTGAGTTAAGTTCGATGGACATTTCCTACGGTGGCTGTTAATGGCCCATCCAGGAGAGGCTGAGGCTGCCGCGGATTAGCACGGTTGGCCACGTACGGTGCGAAATAAGTTCAACGTACACACACGTACTTTTTAGGCCACTTGTGGACGAGTCACGGCTGGCGCTCCATTTGTGCGCTCGTGATTATTTCAGAGCTGCTGGAAGCCGTTTATTATCGGGACACCGCGAGCCAACCCGAAAGTAATGAATCTATAAAAACCAACATCTACAACAAATACAGCCGCACAGCACGCGTCTGATTTGCTTTTGTGAATTTTCCGATTCCTTTTGCAAAACGTGGACGCGTTGCTTTGGACAAGTACACTTTCTCTCTATCATCTGTCTGTTCACTTTGCTGTATTGTTATTAATAATAATTGTAACTTGTACTGGGCCACCACACTGCATTCTCTCTACGGGACCAAGCGACCCCGAGGTGCGAGGAATCGTGGACGAGCGGGAAGGCGGTCACGCCATGAGCCGGAACCAACAATTGCCCAAGTTCTGCCGTCCTTTATATTTTAACGAGTTATCGGCCAATTAATGAGCGTTTCTACACGAGGGAGGAAACTGGAGCATCCGCAGAAATCCCACGCGTGCGACGGTGAAACGCTGTATCCCACACAGATGAAACAGGTGACAGTCCACCTTTTTGCTCAGCCCCGTTCTCCTTGCGAGTCAGGGCATTTGCTCCTCCTCGACTCTCACGGGTAGAGGGGAGTTTCGCAACATCTTGTGTGTATGTGTGTGTGATCCACCAACCTTCTCTGTTGCCTCCACATTGCTGGATTGCAGGCAGCTACGTGCCGGAGTGGACGGTTTTAACTGATTTATTTTTTTCGTCTCACACGGGCGTCTCTCTCCTGGGATGCTTGTGTCCAGGAAGTACTGCCCAGCCGGATGCTTCAGCACGGACAGCGAGATCATGGGCTGTCCCGAGACCGGATACAGAGACGTGAGATTCGCGCGCTCACGCACACACTCGCTGGCATGCAGAAACTAACCTCGGTCGGGACGCGTTCGTTTCTATGTATGTGTGTGTATTTCTATGTTGAACTTCTTTCGCACTGTACGTAGCCAACCGTGCTAATTCAGAAGTGCGGGGGAAGGTTCAACAAACTATAGCCTGGCACGATGAGTCCTTGCAGTGAGCCCTTCGCATCACGATGAGTTACCCGATGAGCATTACACGTCAGTTCACTGCTGCGTGAGGACCTCCACCCGCACCACACTGTCCATGGGGTGAGGGGAGGGAGAGTGTTGTTCAGAGGTCGCAACCAGGTACCCGATACCCGTACCCTACCCGATACCCGGCTACCCGTACCCAGTCGGGTACGGGTACGAGTAACCGTTTGCGACCCTGGTGCGGCCGGGTACGGGTATGGGTAGGCCGTGAGTCACTGGTGAGTAACTGTTTGTCACTCATTTCGGGTAGGGTAGGGTACGGGTAGGGAACGGGTACCCGTACCCGGCCGGGTACGGGTACGGGTACCCATTTGCGACCCTGGTGCGGCCGGGTACGGGTAAGGAATCAAAACCCGTTTGCGACCTCTGGTGTTGTTTGACGACCTCGCCATGCTGGTCGTGACGGGGTTGGTCCAGGTGAGGAGCATAGGTAGTACCGTGCAACAGTGACTTGTGCTGCACTGCCCTCTGCTGTCTCCGGCTCGCCGATGGTGCCTGGCACAATGGCTGGAAGTAATTGGCTCACCAAAGCGTCCTTTGTAATTTAACAGGTGGAATGGTGGTGCAGCGGTTCGTGCGCTGCACGCATGAACCCGGTCACCTGAGTTGGATACTTAGCTACGACTAACTTTGGTGACGGATATTCAAATCAAACCTTGGGCGTCTTTCCCAACAAAAATGTCAAAAACTAGTCTGGGTTATCTTTGTCGTGTGTGTGCGTACACGTGTGTGTGTGTGTGTGTGGGGAGCGGTAGTGTAGCGTTCAGCGCGCTGCGCTACGAACCCGGCCACCCGAGTTGGATTCCCGCTCACGGCCAATAGCAGTGGCAATTATCTGAACCGGCACTGAGCCTCCCCTAGGTTGAGTCAGCCTCAGATGAGTACCTGTTGCGGTGTGTAAACATCGCCACTGGGGAGACAAAGGCAGCCGTGTATTGTTCCGGCCTTCATAGGGTGCTCGCTAACAGCACTTGCCCCTACAGTCTGTTTAGGCTATAGGGGGGGGGTCTTTATCTTTGTGTGTGTACACTTGTGTCCGGGGAGCGGCAGTGTAGTGGTTAGCGCACTGTGCAATGAACCCGACGGTCTGAGTTCGATTCCCGCTCACGGCCAACACCAGTGGCGAATATCTGTTGCTGGACCTCCCAAGGTAGACTCCTCCTCAAATGAGTAAACATCGCCACTACGGAGAAGAAGGTGGCTGGGCGTCGTGCTGGCCTTTCCAGCCTACTTAGGTGCTACTCGCTAACAGCACTTGCCCCAACAGTCTGTCAAACTAAACTGGACTAAAGTCGTTTTATTTTACCAGGTAAGGCTCACTGAGCTATGTAGCTCTTTTTCATAAGTGACCTGCCCACAAATGATAGCTCAACGAAGTGGCTCATCATGTGCAAATGTATCGCAGCCAAATACTCTAAACGCACGTTGGTTCTAAATATGGAGGGAAAAACCGGAGGACCCGGAGGAAAAATCCAAGCGACCACTGGGAGAGACACGCAAACTCCAAATATACAGGCGTCAGGGTCGGGATTGATCCCACGACCTCCTGCAGACCAGGTGAGGTAGTTAACATCTCCTAGCCACCGTGATGATGATGAGAGAGAGAGACACGCAAACTCCAAATATACAGCAGGCGTCAGGGTCGGGATCGAACTCGCGACCTCTTGTATACCAGGCGAGGTCGTTAACATCTCCTAGCCACCGTGATGATGATGAGAGAGAGAGACAAGCAAACTCCAAATATACAGCAGGCGTCAGGGTCGGTATCGAACACGCGACCTCTTGCATACCAGGCGAGGTCGTTAACATCTCGCCTCTGTGGCACCCTTGAGATTGGTTATACAGGGGCTCCTTTTACACACTTTTATTTAGCTTGCCCTGTTATCTTTCAAGTCTCTGATGCTTAATGTCTCCGGATCTACGAAGCCAAACGAGCTGAAACTGTGTATACAGACTTGTCATCTCGCGTGCCAGTTCAAGATCCCATTTAAATAACCGGTCCAGGTCATGCCGATCCTGGGCCTCTTCGTGTTTTTTATAAAAAAATGTATTGCACTATTCGAAATATATTAGGATTATCCAGACAATAAAGAACTATTGTTATTGTCTGGATTGAGATCTTAGAATGAATATGTACATATATAAATGATTCTGCATATACAACGGTTAACATTAAAATAAAGAAAATTGCATAAGAAAAATTAAACATATCGAAAAGGAAACCACCCACTTATTTTCAGCCCACCAAATTGTATTAATTCTGGGGTCAAAATAAAGTTTTTTCTACTTTTTGAGTGCAAATAAAAGCATGTGCATTGATTATTTTCTTGCCTATCTTGTCTTTGTGTCTTTCAGTCTTCACCGCTGTGCAGGGCCGCGGTGCACGCGGGCGTCCTGGCGGCCGACCAGGGCGGCAGCGTCATGGTCCGCCGTGCCCCTGGGGCCCACTACTACAAGGGCAGCCGAGCCAACGGCATCGCCTCCACAGAGTCAGTGGCGGCGTGCGCGGGGAAAAGCGTCGCGCGTGGCGATGTTGCGTCTCTCTCTCACGTGGGCGCGCAACCGTGGCGATGTTGATTGGGGAGTTCGATGCCGATGTTGAGGTCTGCCGCTGGGCCCCGATGAGACGGCTGCAGCAGAGAGAGCGAGCGAGTTTGCGTGGTCTTGCCCGTCGTCCAGCTGGCTGTGATTTTAACACAATTTGTGTATAAAAAAACAACAACGGAGGTTAGTATTTTGTTTACAAATATACACACACACGTGTACCCAAATAGCGTATAAGTGTGTGTATATTTAATAAGTTTCTAAATTATTTCGTTATAACCAGGTAACGAGATCTGATGAGATGAAACGTGATTTCATAATTTAGTCATTTTCGTGTTCATGTAATGATTGTTACTGTTATTTCCCTTGTCTTCCCAATTATTAAATCATGTTACAGCTCATCAGATCTTGTTACCCAAAATAATTCTGAAACGTATTCAATTTACACACACGTACCCTGTTTAAATACCCTATTCAGGTACATGTGTCTATATATTTAATACGTTATTGTAGTATTTTGCTTAACCAGCTCATGAGTTCTGATGAGATGAAATGTGATTTAATAATTTGGATAATTTTCATGTTTACATAATAACAATTATTATTATTTCCCTTGTCTTCCACAGTGGGCCGCTTTCCGACTGGCTCTTCAAGTTCAAAACCGACGGTAAAGATGACGCAGATCCACGCCAGTTCCCAGCGCGACTTCCTCCCACACATTGCCACACGTGCGGGTGGCCGGGTAGCGCACGGGAGAGTGGCGCTGCTTGAAGCACCATCCCCGTGTGCGCGTGGGTGCTGGACGTGGGCAGTGCGCGTCGGTGAATGCACGAAGCGTCGCTGCCTGGGAGCGTAGCAGAGCAGTACAACGACGTGATTTTTCCGCGCCGCCCTCTGCCGCTCGCCGTGTGCGCCGGCGCGCTCCGATCGCCCCATCCGAGCGCCGTGCGGGCTTGCGAGATCTGCCGAGACGGGGCAATTCTATGGCCCATTCGGTCGCGGGCACTGCTTGAGAGCAATCCATTCAAAGGCTTGACTCACGGAACCATTTACCGTGCGTTTTGTGTTTCTTCGCTCTTGTGAAGAGTGCTCTTATTAAGCACTTCAAAGTGCTCCAGTGCGTGCTCTCTGTGAGTAGGGGAGGGACTCGTTTATCTTGACAGCGATGGCAAACATATCTGTGTGTGGCCGTATTTCCTCCCGTGGCCTGCGAAAAAAAAGGACAATTTGCAATTTTGAAAAAAAAAACATTTCCCCAACAGCTACCCATTGGTTTCCGTACATGGTGAAATGCACATTTGAACGCCTCGTATAATCCGCGCGTGCCCTTGATTTTTAATTCGTGAGAACAATAACTACTGTAGTATCGATATGCGAGTGATAAGAAGGCGACTAACCACCGGGGAGCGAGCAAGTGATAGGAGTGAATCAGTAAGTGGTGGGTCATCACTCAACCTGACTGCTCTACGTTGCACCCCATCGGGTGCAGTGAGGTAGGAACTGGGTGCTCCAGCCCCAGATATGACTGCTGAATTCCAACTTGGGACGAATGTTTGAATTTTTACACTGTAAGTGTACCGCCGTTTTCTCAATCCTTCCACCGGTACCGCCGATTGGTACGGCTGGCTACGTACTGTACGAATGAAGTTCAACGTACATATACACATACAATCCACCGCTGGATGACTGCCTCCCGGAGCCGTGCGAGGTCATCGGGGGTTCATCTGGTAGGTGAAGGCGGGTGGAGCATAGACGTTTATAACAAGGAGGACGGCGCAAATACCGGAATGGACTCTTAACTGTAGCGGAACTTGCCTCCCCCCCACTCCACCCAATTCCACCCAACCCCTTCCGCTGTTCCGTCGACGCGTCTCAGGCTGCGACGCCGCGCTGGGTTTTGCGTCGGGCGCCGTGGCGGACGCCCAGCTCACGGCCTCCTCCACGCTGCAGTGGTACGACGCGCAGGGCGCGCTGCAGGCCTGGCCTGCGCACCACGCGAGGCTGGGCCTGCACGGGCCGCCATGGGCTCCCTTCAACCTCGACGACCGCCAGTGGCTCCAGGTCGACCTGCAGACGCCCAAGCGCGTCGTTGGTAAGTTACCGCGCCCGCCTGCCACCGGCGTACGGACCAACGGGAGGTGCCGCGGGCCGGCAGTGGCACGTTGGCCGCTTGTTGCAGAGGTCCGCGGTTGGAATCCGGCAAACCGCCCTCGTTAACGCCATGATGTGTACAAACATAAAGTGTTACCGTGCCGTCTGATTCGCGTCGGGAGTTGAAGATCGCCGTCCCCCGCGATGTTTAAAACGAGGGATCCCATTGGGTGCCGGCATCTTTGTCGCTCGGAGGCGCCCCGATGCAAAGGGCGACAAATGCGCTGCTCTCGTAGCAAGGGTAATAACTAAGTGCGCGACCGAGATATTTGACTGTGGACCAGACCGAGCGAGTAACGCAACGAAAGCCACAGGACTAAGACTTGACGAAAATTACACGGGGGTTGTTAAAAAAAAACCATGACTGCAAGAAAAAAGAGGTGTGACTCCATGAAAACGTTCTATTCTTTGTATGAGCCTGAAGTGCTGTTTACTCTCTGTAGCGACGTTCCTGTCCGGTGGTCTAGTTTCAGGTTTATTTTGTTGAGCCAGGATATGAGTCTCGTTTACAAGGCTCACCTGGGTCACCAAAATGACGAACAATACGAACAATGATGTTGCTGCCGTCTGTAGCAATGATGCCGTTTGCTCGGGTGACGGTGATGACACCCCTCACTCCCCAAACCCCCTTGGGCCTCCAGGAATCGTGACGACGGGCTCGGCGTATCAGAACTACAACTTCTTTGTGACGGCCTACAAGCTCTCGTACAGCCTGGAAGGCGCCAAGTGGACGTTCTACAAGACGGCCGCCTTGGGTGAGGACAAGGTGAGAGACCCTGGTGCAGCGTGTGGGGAGGAACTCGTGCCGCCAGGGTGGCGGAGTGGCTCGGAGTGAGGATGGGGGGGGGGGCGGGACGCATCACACACTGGCGTAGCGCTGAGCCGGCCTGTGATTTAAACCGGTTTAAACCCCTGCGTAATTAACCAGGTCTCCTTTTGTAAGAACAATGAATTGGTAATGTCCTTTTTTTTTTGTCGCTGTTGCTGTCCACTTGACCCTTGTCTGATTTGAACCATTTAGCAATTCCTGTTATGTATAGGCCACGGAACGTGTATACGGAAGGTTTTTTCTTTTTAAATACTCGGTGGTTGGGCGGATCAGGGAGTCGGACCGTTGAGCCGACACCGCTAAGATCCCGCCTGTTGGGGTTACCGTGCCACTCACGTGGTGCACGCGTGACGACAGGATGGGTCGAGATGCTCGAACGCGACGCTACGTTTGCCTTGGACCGACACGCAGTGACGCTGCGCTCTTGCCGACTGATGGCGCAGGCGACGAATGCGTCGATGTCGCCGCCTCTGACCCTGCTTGACCCCGAGCCGGATTCAGAATCTAAGTATTTATACTGAAGGAATCCAATGAGCTATAAAGGTGTCCAGTCGCGACAGGTCAGAACGTTACAACAACACAATAGGAGTGCAAAGTATAGTAATGGTAAACATATTGCTTAAAAAATATATATATACAAATAAACGAAACGATATTCTTGGTTACATTTTGATTCAAAGCTTTCGTGACTGCAGGGATTCATATTCTTGGTTCTTTCGGTAAAGTCACGTAAAAGGGAAATAATAAAATAATAAATAGTTTTATAGGGAAATAATAAAGTAATATATTGTTTTATATTTTTATTATTTTATTATTCCCTTCTACGTGACTTTACCGAAAGAACCAAGAATATGAATCCTTGCAGTCACGAAAGCTTTAAATCAAAACGAAACTATGTTTTATGTTAAATCTTGACTTAAAGCGTTCGTGACTGCAGGAATTCATATTCTTTGGGTCTTTCGGTGAAGTCACGTAGAACAATTTTTTTTTACAAAAAACTCCTGATTTTACCTCTTTTGCCTTCCTCTTCATTTTTTCCTCCTGATGACGATTGCTTGTGTTGCTATTGAAAAGTCGTCGTTTTTTGTAAAAAACAAATTTGTTCTACTTGACTTTACCGAAAGATCCAAAGAATATGTTTCATCTTACCAGATGAAGCCCACTGAGCTCTTCGCTTCTTTTTCAGAAGCGACCTGGCCATCACAAATGATCGCTCAACGAAGAAGTGGCTTACCCTGACCGGAAGCCAATCTCATCACAGTTTAGTTCTGGCTCGGCATGGCAGTTAACCAGTGGAAAAACGCTCAAACAATGAGGGCCGCCCCTCCCTCCCTGCGCTCGCTGTGGAGAAATGATATCGGTCTTCCACTGCCGCCTCCCCCACCACCCACCCCTCCCGTGTTTTTCAGGGAGCCTCTGTCTGACCTCCGACCCAAAGTTCAAGTATTTACACTATGAGATCTCTTTTACCAGTGGCAAAATATAGTAGTAGGTTTTTACCCTTTTAAACTGGTACAAAACTGACACCTTTATTCAAGGCATCATGTTTGCAATAACCACAACACAAGTAGTCAAAAAAGCAAACAAAAAGAAGCAACTCTGATAATGATAATGATATGCACTGTCCTTGAAGTTGATTGGTCCACACCCGAGACGGCTTTCTTTAGAGCCTCGTCCCCATTGGTGTTGGACCAGATGACACCAGAAGGCGTACAACTCAAACACAGAGTTGCTTCTTTTTGTTTGCTTTTTTGACTACTTGTGTTGTGGTTATTGCTAACATGATGCCTTGAATAAAGGTGTCAGTTTTATACCAGTTTAAAAGGGTAAAAACCTACTACTAAGTTCAAGTATTATTTGTTTAACCAGGCGCGAACCCGAGGAGGACCGCCAGCATGAGTCTCAATTGCAAGCGTGACTTGGTTCACTTCCCCCCCCCCCCCCCCCCCCAGGTGTTCGAAGGCAACACCAATCAGTGGCAGGAGGCGCGCCACTCCCTGCTGCCGGCTCTGGCGTCGGCGCGCTTCGTGCGTCTCCACCCGACGGCGTGGCACGGCAAGATCGCGCTCAAGGCCGAGCTGCTGGGTTGCGAGCCGCTGAGTCCGCGTGGCCCCCTCCTTCCAGCCGTGCGCAGTGAGTGTCCGCGCGCACTGCGACCCCCCCCGCCTCCCTCCCCCGCCCTCCTCCCCTCCCCCCACCCCCCTCCCCCGCCCCCTTCCCCCGCCCTCCTCCCCCGTCCCCCCTCTGCCCACCTCCTCCCCCACCCCCCTCCCCCCTCCCCACCCTCCTCCCCCCACCCCCTCCCCCACCCCCCTCCCCCACCCTCCTCCCCCACCCTCCTCCTCCGTCCCCCTCTCCCCACCCCCTCCCCCGCCCTCCTCTCCCGCCCCCTTCCCCCGCCCTCCTCCCCCGTCCCCCTCTCCCCACCCCCTCCCCGTCCCCCTCTCCCCACCCCCCCTCCCCCGCCCCCCTCCCCCACCCTCCTCCCCCACCCCCCTCCCCCACCCTCCTCCCCCACCCCCCTCCCCCGCCGCCAGCAAATCTCGTAGTGGCGTGCGAGGACTTCGGGTAGGGCTTGGCCTCTTGGGCCGGGCAATGTAATGATGATAACAACAATAACCTCTCTTTTATGAAGCGCCTTTCATATTGGAGTATCCCAAAGCTACACTGGCAAGTATAGGAAAAAATCTAAGCGAAATAAAAAGTTAACAACAATGACTGAACTCGAAATTGCAATAAAATGTAGAACTATGATAAGAAAAAATGTATAATATTAATTATAGAGTAATCTAATCGGACAACAATTTTTTTTATAAATGAAATTACAGGGCAATGTACCCGCTGGTGTTATTAAATCCTTTATATTAAGTTCGCTTGCTTGCTTGCTTGCGTGCTTGCTTGCTTGCTTACGACCGTGCAAATCTTTCGGTCGTTTTTTAACCCACTTCCCGTGATCCAATCGAGCTGACATTTTCCACACAGACTCGTTGTGCCAGACAATTAATGTTCGTGAAAAAAATTCCCAAAATTTTACACTTTTTAGGCAAAAAAAAATTATTTTACATATATTCAAATATAACTCATCCATGGCTTTGGCTGAACATCACAGTATAAGAGCCCAGAGCGTAACCCCTCCACAGGCCGTGGCGGAGTAGCGCAGTTGGTAGCGCCCTCGCTTCCCATGCCAAAGGTCGCGGGATCGATCCCCGCGTCCTCCACAGGCGAATATATTTTTAAATCCTTTATATTAAGTTCGCTGCCACGCATATAAAGGATTTATAGTGAAAAACTTTGTTTTTACGGGTTATACTTATATGTATTTATGTTGAACTTCTTTCGCACCGTACATAGCCAACCGTGCTAGCCGGAGGTGCGGGGGAAGGACCACATACTAAACACAAAAAGCTGTTCTAAACAAATTAGTTTTTCAATCTAAATTGTTTAAAGTGCACATCTCCGGTGGGTTCTTAATATCAGACGGAGGAGCGTTCCAGACGGCCGCAGAAGCGCGCCTGAAAGCGCGCGATGCGGTGGCCGTCTTTCGTTCGAAGGCCACACACGGAGTGGATCTTTGCTTTTTCTGTCTCCTCCCCACCCAAGCTCGCCTCTCGAACACGAGGACTCGCGACAGCACCGCGATGATGGAGACGCTCTCTTCGCACGAGGGCGGCGCGGCAACGCGCAACGGCAACGGCACCCTGCGCGTCGAGGAGCGTCAGGGTACGGGGAACCCAGACGCGTAGGGTCCATCGGGAGGGAGGCGTTAACCGAAAAGTTATCTTTACTTCCTTTGTTAGTCGTCATACGTGGTGCAATTCCGTACTCTTGCCCTTCCGTACAACGCAAGGCATGTCGCAGAGACGGGTATTGTTTGCCTGTACAGTACAGTAAAACCTTGGATTGCGAGCATAATTCGTTCCGGAAACGTGTTTGTAATCCAAAGCACTCGTATATCGAAGCGAATTTCCCCATGAGAAATAATGGAAACTCAGATGATTCGTTCCACAACCCAAAAACACTGTATTCATATAAAAACTATTATTACAAAATACCTTTTTATATTTGTTTTATTTAAATTTAAAGTAATCAAATGTATTAATTTAATTTAATCGTGGCTGGTGTGTGGGAGACGAGAGAGAGGAGAGGAGGAGGAGTGTTATTGTGTAGGACGACTTTCACTTGCAGTACAGTTACTAAAGAACAATCACTACACTTGGACACAAAATAAAAAAATGCTTTACGCACACACACGTGGTCACAACACTTTAGTAAACAGTATACGCTCGCACGGATGTTGACTATACGAGTGGGGCACGCCGACTGAGACCGAGCATGGGAGACGATTACCCACAATCCCGCAGCGAGAGAGAGAGAGAGAAGAACCATCGGCTCAGTTGTGATCACGTGACGCTCGGCAGACAAAGCGTATACTGTACGTACTACAGTACTCGTATTGCAAGACCTCGCTCGTTTATCAAATTAATATTTATTAAAAAATTTGCCCGTCTTACAAAACATTCGCAAACCAAGTTACTCGCAAGGTTTTACTGTACGTCGACTCAGCCTCGGATGAGTACCTGGTGCGGTGCTGTAAACATCGTCCACCGGGCGTGGTGTTGCCAACCCACCCCCCCTCGTGTGCCGTGCCGGCCTTCATAGGTGCTGCTCGCCAACAGCACTTGCCCCAACAGTCTGTTGAGGCTACACGGGGGATCTTTGTCTTGATTACCACTTCTTCTACCTATTCTCGTCTGACAGTCACCGTGTAAAGTTTTGAGACGTTTGCTGACATTGCAATAATCCTTTTCCTCACCCTCCGTTTTCTCTCTCCACCTGCATCACCAACATCGCTATCGCCACCATCGCCACCTCCACCAGGCTGGAATGCGTGGTGGGTGGCATTGCCCGTTGCCTTGGCATTGACAACTCTCGTCTCGGTGCTGGTGATCTACACGTGTGTGAAGAACAGGAGAAGCAGGTGTGTGCTTTGCGGTTGCGCCCGCTGTCTCGATCGACACAGCTTTACTAATAGGGTTTTCCCCCTTTTTTCTGGCAACAAAAACGGACACCTTTTGCAAGGAATCATGCTTACATTAACCACAATACTTGCAGTCAAATGCAAAGAAAAAACAATACTCTGATAATTTATGCATTGTCTTTGAAACTGATTGGTCCACACCAGAGACAGCTTTCTTTAGAGCCTAGTCTCATGTGGCCTTTTGGCGTCATCTGGTCGAACACCATATGAGGCTAGGCTCTAAAGAAAGCTGTCTCTGGTGTGGACCAATCAGTTTCAAAGACAATGCATAAATTATCAGAGTATTGTTTTTTGTTTGCATTTGACTGCAAGTATTGTGGTTAACGTAAGCATGATTCCAAAAGGTGTCAGTTTTTGTTGCCATAAAAAAGGGGAAAAACCCTATTAGTATATTTTGGTACTGGCAAAAAAGGTCCCATGATGCCACAGCTTTCTCAAAGTCCCCGTTCGCTCGAGACTTCCGTTGATCGGCGTTGATGCGATTGTCACCTCTGTCTGTCGCAGACGCAAGGCGGCGGAGGGAGCTGCGAGCACGCAACTTGGGCGCAGAGCGGGTGAGCGTCGCGCGTCGCGGGGCAGCAGCACGTGCGTCTGCGCGGGAAAAATTCCAATGTGGCACTGCGCTTCTATGCCGTGTGATTTTTAACCTTGGGTCGGATCTTGGGAGCGCTGCGCGTCTGCCGTGTGGCGGCTGTGGGACCTGGCGGAGGGTAGGAATGCGTTGACTACTTCTACTCTCCCACGTCTACGCCGCCTGCTGCGTTGACGAAGGCTGGCGGCGTCGGTGGTGAGGGGAGGGGGGGGGTGCTGGGGGGAGGTGTCCCCTCCAGCGGTGGATTGACACCAGGGCTGCTACGTGTACACGCGCAGTCTGCAATTACAGCGCGTAATACATTTTGAAATACATTTTGCATGACGCACGGGCGCGTGTTGTTATGCGTGCGTGTGTAACTTCTGTGTTTGCGCATGTAAACGTGGAGGAAACAATGCGTACACACACACAAGGAACTTGATAGGTTTAGTGCGAGCGGGCTTTTGCATGCCGATTCGTTTTTGCACGGACCCAGTGCGTGAGTTTTCCCCACAGACTCTCCGCATCTTCTGCAGGGAGATTAACAAAAGGTGCGACACCCCCCCCAACTCCAAACTCGCTCGACTGTAAAGTGATCTGGGCACATAAGGCTTGGGGTCGGAGTTCACGTTTGGTCTAAACACGTAACGGTCGTAGTGCAGCGGTGTCTTCCAACACTCTTCTTGGTTCAAAGTGTTTGGAACGGCGTAACGCAAAACATCAACAGCAACCGACCTCTCATGAATGGCAGATTTGAAATAGGTTCTTAAGCACGTGATGCAAATGCTGGACACTTCAATTTGTGACACCGCTAAAGGTATTGATTGTTTGGCTCTTGGTAAGGAAATTCGTCTCCAAAACCCCTGCCTTCCAGGGTCCATTGGAACCGGGGATTTAACCGTTGCTCACTCTTTCGTTGCCTATCTTAATAGGCTCCTCCTAAGAGGTTCTTTTTGAGAAAATATATGAAGGGAGTGACATGTGATGTGTGCGATAATATAATAACATCCTCAACGACGACGATGATTATTGTAATCGTGATGTTTTTAATGGAGCGCCTTCCTAAATGCCCCAGGGGCATCTACGAGCGATTCCACACACATCAAGCGACTTGCTTCTCATGCAAAACTTTCTAAAGGGCCACCCCCAGTGGCAGCTATCCCTGTGTGGCGCACGGAGACCTGGCAGCTGACTTGCAAGCGAGCGTCATGCTGCCCTTACGAGGGGGCGGGGGGGCGGGCAATGATTGCCACTCTGTCTAATCCTAATCGAGCAGATTTCTGGGTCATTTTTCAAATGCGAACAAATCCGGACTCGCCGCACGCCAACGGCCAGCTGAGAGACCTGATGACCTCTCAACCTAACAACCAGGGTATTGTTACGTAACGACCAGGGTATTGCTACGTAACGACCAGGGTAATGTTACGTTACGACCTGGGTATTGTTACATAACGAGCTGGGTATTGCTACGTAGCGACCAGGGTATCGTTACGTTACGACCAGGGTATTGTTACGTAGTGACCAGGGTATTGTTACGTAGCGACCAGGGTATTGTTACATAACGACCAGGGTATTGTTACGTAGCGACCAGGGTATTGTTACGTAGCGACCAGGGAATTGTTACGTAGCGACCAGGGTATTGTTACATAACGACCAGGGTATTGTTACGTAGCGACCAGGGTATTGTTACGTTACGACCTGGGTATTGTTACATAACGACCAGGGTATTGTTACGTAGTGACCAGGGTATTGTTACGTAGCGACCCGGGTATTGTTACGTAGCGACCAGGGTATTGTTATGTAGCGACTAGGGTATTGTTACGTAACGACCAGGGTATTGCTACGTAACGACCAGGGTATTGCTACGTAGCGACCAGGGTATTGCTACGTAGCGACCAGGGTATTGCTACGTAGCGACCAGGGTATTGCTACGTAACGACCAGGGTATTGTTACGTAACGACCAGGGTATTGCTACGTAACGACCAGGGTATTGCTACGTAACGACCAGGGTATTGCTACGTAGCGACCAGGGTATTGCTACGTAGCGACCAGGGTATTGCTACGTAACGACCAGGGTATTGCTACGTAGCGACCAGGGTATTGCTACGTAACGACCAGGGTATTGCTACGTAGCGACCAGGGTATTGCTACGTAGCGACCAGGGTATTGTTACGTAACGACCAGGGTCCGCCTTGTCGGAGTCGAACCGCGAATCTCTGCCAACGTGCGGCGAGCGCTCCACGGCCGGGCCTCGTCGCCGCCCCAAGACGTAGTCGGAGGGGGGTCTCGACAGCGCAGCGTCACTCGGGAAATGCTGCATGACTCCCCCCACCCCACCGCCACCTCTGACTCCCCCAACACCACGTGATGACTTCGTTGCCGTGACCACCCACGCAGGCTGCTGCCTGAGCCTCAAGAGGATCTTCCCGAGCCGCATCCCCGAGCCGGCCGACTCGCTCATCAACATCCGCTACCACCCGGACAAGCGGCAGTCGCACGACATCGGCGCCGTGCTCAGCAACATCGAGGGGGCTCGCCACCCGGGTGAGTCGGTGTGTGCGTGCGTGCGTGTGTGTGCGTGCGTGCGTGCGGGGAGCAGGAGTGCAGCATTTAGTACGTTGTGCTGCTACGAACCCGGCGACCCGAGTTCGACTCCCGCTCACGGCCAACACCAGTGACGATTATCTGAACCGGTCCTGGGCCTCCCCTAGGACGGCTCAAATGAGTACCTGGTGCGGGCAGCCGCGCTTGGTGCTGGCCACGCACCCCGTCGTGTGCCGTGCCGGCCTTCATTGGTGCTTGCTTGAAAGCCCCAAAAGTATGTAATGGCTTTACAAGGGCGTCTTTGTATATGTAAAGTGAACCTCCAGAAATTCTGATTATATTTATCGTCATTCTCCCTCTATTTTCACATCTCTACCCCGCATCGTCTCTCCTCCCAGACTACGCCGTACCGCTCATGACTCCAGGCCAGGTGGGGAAGGGCTCCACCTTCAAACCGGACGAGTCGGCCTGGCGGGACGACCCCCACCGCGCGGCCGTGGCTCAGCCTCAACCGCCGTTGCCGGCGGTGGCGGCGGCGACGACGCCGAGCCAGCACACGTACACGGAGCCCATCCCGAGCGGGCGGCCCGAGTACGCCATGCCCATCGTGCTCCAGAGGGCCGCCGCCTCCCCGGCCGTCCTCGCTCCGCCCGCCATCACCGGCAGCGTCGCGAGCTCTCTCGGCGCCAGCTACGACCGGCCCGGCCAACGCAAGGCGGCTCCCGGCGGACTCGGAGTTAAGAAGCCGCAGCTGCAGCAGCTGCGGCCCGGTGGTGTGCCGGCTGTGGCAGTTGAGGTGGGGCTGGGGTACAAGGCGCCGATTCCGGTGGACTTGAGCAAGCCGGAGGAGGACTCGGGTTACCGCACGCCCAGGGCGGCCCTGGCGCTCGCACCGGCGTTACCGGCGCCGGCAGGGATGACGACTGCTGCGGCGCCGCCACCGCCGTGCGACTACGATGCCCCGAGAGCGGACCGGCAGTTTGACGTTTGACGGCACACTAAGTGGCGGTGGCGGCAGCGGTGGTGGTGACCACTGGGGGGGGGGGTGCCCCCCCTACTGAGTTGTGTTGAGCGCAGATTCGTTCAGTTGTTGTTCGTTGTGGGGGGAGGGTGGAGACTGTTGCGTGGCTCCCGGTGACGGTACGTGGCATGCGACGGTGAAATTATTCGCGATTTTTTTTTTCCATTCGATGCTCGTGGCCTTGCTAAATGCGTCGGATCGTGCGTGTGATTAGCTCGCTCCGCTATGAGCCTGGCAAGTCGAGTTCAATTCCTGACCGTGGCTATATCTAAACTGGACCCCCCCCCCCTTCACCAAATGTCAACCTGCAACAGACCAGCTTAATGAAATTTGGTCAAACAATTCCCATGGCCACCAAAGCATGGGGGAAGGCCTTCATCCAGCAGTGGATGAACACATGTCTTGAGATGAACACTGTATGTTAATTGAAAGGAGCAAACGAAACTCTACAATTGGGACGGAGTTAACGAGAAACGATACGGTGAAAATGAGACCGAGAATCGCACTCCGATTTTGTGTTTCCATGTCGTACCTCTCGCCCGTTCTTCGGTACTCTGTCTCACTCCAGTTCCTGAAGAAGCTCCCGGTATGTGGAGCAAAAACGTCAGACAATGTCCCGCGGGACCGAATCGTTGCATGCCCCATTTTTTAACAGGGAGTGACCCGCACCTCCGATTTAGTACGGTTGGCGAACTTGCGCGTGCGAAAGAAGTTGGAAATGAGGAAGACTGCTGTTGGCGTACCACTATTGGCACAATGGTTGGGTCCATGGCAGGGAGGTTGTTTCTCCGTAGGACTACTTGCGTTGTGAGTGCAATTTCATAACTGCTTCCCTTCGGGAGTTTTTTTGTTTGTTCGTAAGATAAATATATTTTTTGAAAGATTTTTTTTTTCATTTGTTGCAGTTGGGGAAACATTAATCAAGGAGGAGGAATGGCAATCCCCGACCAAAAGGTTAATTTGCGTGACGTTTTTTCAGAATTTGTTTTCAAATTCTTCAACAAATGCCTTTTAATAGGCTCGGATCTCGTTCAAATATGATCCGCCCCCTCCATAGCTTAGAGGGAGTTCTTTTGCCAATATCTCCATTTATCAAGTTTTTCCAAGACACTAAACAAGCCTTTGTGGACAAATTGATAGGACCTTGCTTTGAAACATCCACTCTCTTCAGACTTATTTTCCATTGGCGTGCCATTCCTCCCGTAATATATATTTAGTTCGTAACATGAACCTCTTCAGGAGCCTGTGAAAATCAGTAACTAAACAGTTATTATCGCTTCGGTGTCCTTAAAGGTTAAATCGCCATCCTGACGATCGCTGTAGGACAGGAGTTGGTAACCAATTTCCTTAACCAGCGCGAAAAATAGGAGTTTAAAATATTGTTTTTTGGCGGGCGGCACTTTAACGTGCATCTTGGCGTTATCCAATAATTAATAACCGCAAACAATAAATCGCTTTCACCTTTGAACAGGTGACCTTTGAACAGGTGACCTTTGAACAGGTGACCTTTGAACAGGTGACCTCGTGAAGGTGTGCAGTAAATCAACAAACGGTAAAGGTGCCGCCCTGCAATTGGCTGCTCGGACCACTGCTGATGGACGGGCCTCCACGTGTTCGAACTCTGGAGGTTATTATGGCCTACTCTTCCACGTTGACTCGCTGTGTTGGAAGAGGTGGGCGTACCTGCCGATTGACTAACTACGGCTGAACCCATTTATACTGCTGCTGCTGAGTGGACGGGGGGGCGGGGCGGGTTCAAGAAACTTGCATCGTTGCTTCGACTTCCGTGCCAGGAAATGGAATCGAACCGGCGCCCTCTGGATTGCAGGCCGAGTGTGCTGCTGCGAACCGCTACTCCGCGGTAGTTCCACCGTGGTAAATGTCGAAACGTGGTTTTTTCCTGTGCTTTACGAGGATTATTAAGGAGTTCCAGCGAAGCTCTTAGAATCTGCTTTGGCGTGGGCCGTGTGTCACACAGGTTTTCAAGAGCAAGAGGCCTGCCGACAATGTGTTACTGTTGTCAGTTTATGCGATGTTTAAAAAAAAAATCACGATACCACTGCTAAAATGCTCTGTGATCTTGAGGTCGAGTACAGAACGACAGTCCGGTTTAAAGATAACTCCCTTATCGACAACGCGTCTTAAGGCAATTAAACGTCATAATGTTCAGATAGATCTTAGGTGGTTGGCAGGACCGCTCACTCGTAAGTCGAGTGACAAAGTCAAAATAAATCACCTGATAATGAATTACACAAGATAGTGGTGAAATGCTATGAACATTACTATTTTATATAATCATTAACATAAATATACTTACTCTTTGGTTCTTTCGGTGAAGTCACGTAGGTATAAAATATGATGAATCAGGACGTTTCGGGCGCAACACAAGCGTCCGTCATCGGGTGGGAAAGCATGGTCTGCTGCTGAGGCAGACTGTTTTAAAAGGTTTGAAATGGGTGTAGTCCAAGGGTCATAAAGAAGTGGCCGGGGCTATATATTCTTACCTCTGCCACTTCGGTTGAAGTGCACAATGTTGTGATGCCAGCCATATTGCATGGGTAACTTTCATGGTGGCCATGTTGCATGGGGGTTGTCGTTCTGGCAGTCGATTGGCTGGGGCAGTGGGGGGGGGGGGGGAGTCATGACGCAATCCCTAGCAACCACTGCCATCTCACGAAGACGCCCGGAATTTATTTTGACCTTTGACCCATTTATCTTCAAATCTTACTGTGACAGTCGCTGCCTGCCTGCACTTAAGACAAATTTTAAGACCATTTTGTGTACCCGGGGGGGCGGGAGCGGGGAAGGGGGGGGGAATGGGGGGGCTGGGTTATTGTGTCATTGACATAACGTCCACCCAGCCCTGACTACCACTACCTAGAGCGATGTGATACGGTTATAGTACCGCGATTCAACTGTGACATGCGTGTGTGGCCGCTTGCGGGACAGAACGCCTGCTTTGGGTTCTCACTTTAGCAGTGGCTGATCCACGTGCGGCTGGACTCTTTAAAGAAACGGTTATTTCGCGTACTTTGCGGGGAATCTTAATAGCACAATAAATAACGCCTCCTTCCCGTATCTCTCTTCCATAAAAAAATGTGGCATGAAAAAAAATAAGAATAGGTTTTACTCCTGCCAATAAAACAGATGTTAAGATGTTCAAACGCCAATGAGAAACCGTTAGCAAGGAATCGTGTCCGCAACCTATATTTTTATATTAAAAAAATTATGTCAAACTATCCTGACTCTTATTCTTGGTTCTTTCGGTAAAGTCACGTAGAAGGGAAATAATAAAATAATATCAATATAAAACAATAAAAATTCTCACGACGTTTCGACTGCAACACAAACAATCATCATCATCATCACGAAAGCTTTAAATCAAAATTTATCCTGACTCTGCTGATGGGAGTCCGGTCATCGTTAATCCATTAAGCCTGGCAGTTCAGGGACGTCTGGCAGTTCAGGGGAGCCTTGGGTTACAGCAAGCCTGATTTGCTGATGAAATAAATCGAATGTTCGAAACGTGTGCCACAGGTTTTGCTTTCACTGAACCAGTGCTCCTGATGGAATGCGTTCCCAGATGGCCCTGCGGCCGATGGGTTGTTTTACGCGGAGAGGCAAAATATGGGGAGGAGAGCGGCATTTATTCTGTTTGTCTTAAAGAATAGCGGAGTGTTCACCCGGCCTGCTTTTCAAAAAGCCAAGGCAGCTTTTATTAGCATTAACGTGCTTTTATATAAACGAGGATGTTATTTTAACAAATGTTGCGATTGTATGTTTTTTGTATGTACAAAACGAAATAAAGAGACAACTATGTGATAGTTTATATATATAACATAACGCTCGGTGGTCGTCCTGTGTGGAGTGTCGCAACGGCGTGCATGTGTAATGGGTTCCGGAGACACTTGTAGAGGTAACTTCTTTATTACAATCCAACAGTCCTCCAACAGTCCTGATACTCTGTTACAGCCTAGGTACACAGCCTAGGTACACAGCCTAGATACACTACTCTGGCTACGCTCTGGAACTCGCCCTCACAAGGACGTAGAGCCGGGAGTTCCAGAGTCCCACCACTGGCCCTCACAACGTCCCAGGGTCCTCACATGGCTGGTCTTGGGTCTTGGATCTTGAGCTACAACTGGCCTCGATCGTCCAGGGAGCTGCCCTTTTATGCCTCGTCCCCAACGAGGGGTGGGGTTGTGTGCGCCCCCAAATATCTCACAGAGCACACACAGCCCCCCCCCCCCCCCCGTTGGTGGCGCCAAGAGGCTTAACTGGCTGGGGTGCCTAGGGTCCCAGCGCCTGGCGCCAAGGGGCTTAAGCGTCTGGGTTGCCTAGGGTCCCAGAGCCCGGCGCCAAGGGGCTTAAGCGTCTGGGTTGCCTAGGGTCCCAGAGCCCCCAGCAACCCCTCCCCTCTTATGTCACTACACATGCACGTCTCGTCTTCATTTCTTCTGACCAGCGGCAGGGGCGCGGCAGGGAGGGAGGACCCTTGGCTGGAGCTCGCTTCTCCATCCCGTCAAATTCCCCGCCACGACCAACGTCAATGGGCGAGTGATGTTAGCGCGAGTTTGGTTCACGATCAGGGTTACATTCTCGCACCGTGAGAGGCGTTGGCGGCTTGGGGAGGTCTTCGTCCAGCAGTTGATGAATCGTAGCTGATGATGACAAATTTATTAACAGGTCCTGGAATTCTTCCCGCCTTCAACCCGCACTGCCCCACACAACAATAAAGCCTCCCTCCCGTATTTGTCTCTTCCGAATAACAAAAAAATATATCAAAGTATCCTGACTCTGCTGATCAGTCGTTCATCCTTAATCCATCAAGCCACCCGGAAAGGTCCCTTGCCTATGAACACCTCCGATTAACACGGTTGACTACGTACGGCGTGAAAGAAGTTCAACATACATACGAATCATATTCGGCATTAGACACGTGACAACGACCGCGTCGCCTACAATTCTCAACCCAGCGGCTCTGCTGCCTCCCGACTCTATCCGACTGGAGCCGTTGCTTGGTCCCAGAAGGTGTCGGGACACGAGCTTATGATTGTGACAATTGCTACTCTTTATTAGTGTAAAACAAGGCAGTGTATTATATACACTGGTGACGTGGGGGTTATTATGGGGAGGCCTTCAATAGGGCGGGGAACGCGGTGCCAGGAGGGTTCAGGGCGCCACGGTAGCTAGGAGATGTTAACTACCTCGCCTGGTATACAGGAGGTCGTGGATTCGATCCCGACCCTGACTGTAATGTTTGAAGTTTGCTCTCCCCATGGTCGCGTGGAATTTTTCTCGGGGTCCTACGGGGTTTCCCACCACGTTTAGAAACACGCGTTAACAGCATTTGGCTGCTATACATTTCCACACGATAAGCAACTTTGTTGAGCTATCCATTTGTGACCAGTTCTGCTTCTGAAAAACAGCTGTATAGCTCAGTGGGGGTGGGGGGGCCTTAGCTGGTCACATTTTAAACTAAACACATTCCTGCGGAGGGAGCTGGTAGGAACGTTGGGTTGCTCGGTTAATGGCCAGGGTCAACGGCGGCGTGGTGTATTCCGCAAATATGCCCGACTGTGAGGGCGGGCACAAGCCGGCGTGAGTAGGTTAAACGTTGAGTTTTATAAGGGCACCACGGGGTGACCAGCCCCTCCCCATCCAGCCTCCCCCCCCACCCAGCCTCTCTCCACCCAGCCCGACCCCTCCCATTTTTGGATGCACGACGCACGGACGGACACAAAAATCCCCTGTGGGCTAGTGGAACCAGGTGGTTCCTACCAGTAAAATGTTTCGTTAAGAACCACACTGGGGTCGTACCGTTACGCCGCGCAATTGCACAACGCTCGCCACGAGGTGGCGCTACTTGACCCTGATCCCGAAGGCTGCCGAATGGTGGAACGTCGCACGTGCCAATTTAAAGCCCCTCTCAGTGGGAGGGGTGACGTCGCCACGGCAAGTTGTGCCAGGCTAGGTGCACTTTGTGGCCACGTGAAGTGTCGAAGGCTCGCTGGCAGGAGGTGCCATGGGTTGCGTAAACGAAATAAACGCCCAATTTGAAACCCGCATATCGCAAGCTCCTACTGGCTTTGGCATTGCTCCTCGAAGACACCGGTGTAGCCATCAAGTCACTCACCAACTCACTCACCAACTCACTCACTCACCAACTCACTCATCAACTCACTCACCAACTCACTCACTCACCAACTCACTCACCCACTCACTCACCAACTCACTCACCACCGGTGTACCCATCAACTCACTCCCCAACTCACTCACTCACCAACTCACTCACAAACTCACTCACCACCGGTGTACCCATCAACTCACTCACTCACCAACTCACTCACCAACTCACTCACCAACTCACTCACTCACAACCTCACTCACCACCGGTGTACCCATCAACTCACTCACCAATTCACTCACCAACTCACTCACTCATCAACTCACTCACCAACTCACACACTCACCAACTAACTCACCACCGGTGTACCCATCAACTCACTCACCAACTCACTCACCAACTCACACACTCACCAACTCACACACCAACTCACTCACTCACCAACTCACTCACCACCGGTGTACCCATCAACTCACACACTCACCAACTCACTCACCAACTCACACACTCACTCACCAACTCTCAAACTCACTCACCATTGGTGGCCGGCGCCTAACACGGCGGCCGGAACCAAAAAACGTGACCCGGACACCGCGGAAACAATTTACCGTCGCCGGCCACCGCCGCCGCCGACGATACTTCCATGAAAACACTTCCATCAGACGTGAAGAACAACAACAAAAAACCACGACGATAAGTTAGTAAGAAGAAAACAACAACAACAACAACATTCGTACGAACGAATCGCGCGTTACATGCGCGCGTGTTCGCAAAGATACGTTTTAGAAAAAAAATTCGGAACCAAAATCGCTTTGCGACTCGTTGAGAACTGCCGTACCGACTTTCCCCCACCCACCGGAGCGGAAGCACGTGGGTTTCGCCTGGTGCTTCTCTCCACGTGCGTCTCGCTTGGTGCTTCTCTCCACGTGCGTCTCGCTTGGTGCTTCTCTCCACGTGCGTCTCGTCTGGTGCTTCTCTGCACGTGCTTCTCAAGACGCGTTGGTGCTTCTCTGCACGTGCGTCTCGCCTGGTGCTTCTCTGCACGTGCGTCTCGCCTGGTGCTTCTCTCCACGTGCGTCTCGCCTGGTGCTTCTCTCCACGTGCGTCTCGCCTGGTGCTTCTCTGCACGTGCGTCTCGCCTGGTGCTTCTCTGCACGTGCGTCTCGCCTGGTGCTTCTCTCCACGTGCGTCTCGCCTGGTGCTTCTCTGCACGTGCGTCTCGCCTGGTGCTTCTCTGCACGTGCGTCTCGCCTGGTGCTTCTCTCCACGTGCGTCTCGCCTGGTGCTTCTCTGCACGTGCGTCTCGCCTGGTGCTTCTCTGCACGTGCGACTCGCCTGGTGCTTCTCTCACGTGCGTCTCGCCTGGTGCTTCTCTCCACGTGCGTCTCGCCTGGTGCTTCTCTGCACGTGCGTCTCGCCTGGTGCTTCTCTGCACGTGCTCTCGCTGGTGCTTCTCTGCACGTGCGTCTCGCCTGGTGCTTCTCTGCACGTGCGTCTCGCCTGGTGCTTCTCTGCACGCGTCTCGCCTGGTGCTTCTCTGCACGTGCGTCTCGCCTGGTGCTTCTCTGCACGTGCGACTCGCCTGGTGCTTCTCTGCACGTGCGTCTCGCCTGGTGCTTCTCTGCACGTGCGTCTCGCCTGGTGCTTCTCTGCACGTGCGTCTCGCCTGGTGCTTCTCTGCACGTGCATCTCGCCTGGTGCTTCTCTGCACGTGCGTCTCGCGTATGGGGGTGTCTCTCCATCCCCCTCACCCCCCCCTAACCACCCCCCCCCAACCACTCTAACCACCCTAACCCCCCCCAACCACCCCCCCCTAACCACCCCCCCCCCCCCCCCTAACCACCCCCCCCTAACCACCCCCCCCCCTAACCACCCCCCCTAACCACCCCCCCCTAACCCCCCCCCTAGCCACCCCCCCCCCAACCACCCCCCCCAACCACCCCCCCCTAACCACCCCCCCTCACCCCACCCCCCCTCACCGCCGTGTCAGGCGCCGGCCGAATGGGGGAAGCGGCCACGCAGCAGCGGGCTCCACTGGGAGCCCCCCCCGCGTCTCGCCTCGAGACCCGCGCGGTCGACGAGGAGGAGGAGGTGGTGGACGAGGAGGAGGTGGACGAGGTGGAGGAGGAGGACGGGCTGCCCGGGTTCTACTGCGAGATCCGCAGCGGGAGTCGAACCGCCCACTTGGTGCTGAGGTACGCGGCTCCGGGAGTCTCAATGCGGCCTTGGCGGGAGGGCCTTGCCAAGGCCGGCTCCGATTTAAGTAACTATGGGGCCGTACGTAAATGACGTCACGCGATTTTGGTTGATTTTTGACCCCCCCCCCCCGCGTCACACGGCGTCACAAAAAGTCAGACCCCCCCCCTCAAATATGACGTCACAAAGCTCTGCCCCCCCCCCCCCAAAATATATAAAATATGCTTCATCGACGCACACACACACACATAGCCGCACACACACACATAGCCGCACACACACACATAGACGCACACACACACATATAGACGCACACACACACATAGCCGCACACACACACATAGCCGCACACACACATAGACGCACACACACACATATAGACGCACACACACACATATAGACGCACACACACACATAGACACACACACACAGACACACACACACATAGCTGCACACACACACACAGACGCAACACACACATAGACACACACACACACATAGACACACACACATAGACGCAACACACACGCAGACGCAACACACACACAGACACACACACATAGATGCACACACACGCGGCGCGTCTCGGCGTTGTCGTCACCACCCAGTCGCCGTGTCTCCTCCGCGTGCAGGGACGTGCGCACCGAGGGCCCCGTGCTGGTCGAGGCCTCCCGCGTGACCGTGCGCGCCGGCGCCCGCGACCTCCTCGTCGCCCTCCCGCCGGGCGTTACCGCCGACCCCGGGGCCACCGGCAGCGTCCGCCCGGTCCCCGAAGACGGGACCCACGTGAGCCTGCGGCTCCACGCGCCGCAGAGCCTCTTTGCCGCAGGTCCGTCGCGGCGCGGGGGGGGGGGGGGGGTTGGTGGGTCGCGTGACGAGGTGCCGCACGCATCTCTCTGGCTTGCGACGAGGTGAAGGCGGCGTGGCAAAGTTGGGGACTAATATCAGCTGTCCCTTCTGGACACGATATGACCCGTGCGGAACAGGGGGGCACATGCAAACTCCATGGCCGAGTTGGCAATCGAACCTTCTTGCGGCGAGGCACAATTGTTACCACTGCGCTGCTACCCGGCCACACGTAATAACTGAGAGTGATGATGGTGATGACGGCGATGATGATGGTGATGACAGGACTATGCCGACGTGTTAAACAGGACTACGTCTTTGTCCGTGTCCAGGCTCGAATGCCCGACCCGTGGTGCAGCAGATCCGCGAGCAGACCACTCCGCACTTCTCATGCCAAGCGTGTGGAGCTTCACTGCTGCGACCTGGAGAGTAAGGGTTAAACTCTCGCATCGATCCGCACCGAGACCCAGAGACTCACGTAGACCCGCACAGAGATCCAGAGACTCACATAGACCCACACTGAGACCCAGAAACTCACATAGACCCACACCGAGACCCAGAGACTCACATAGACCCGCACTGAGACCCAGAGACTCACATAGACCCGCACTGATACTCAGAGCCTAACATAGTTTAAGTTTATTTAGTTTGACCAGGTGCAAATTTAAGAGACCAGAATGAGCCTCATTTGTGTAAACTTTCGATTTCGTCAAGTTCGGACCAAGCCATCGGTACACAATGGCCTACGATTGCCAACGCTGTCAGGAGATCTTCAACGTCCCCTGTGTCTCACCCTCCGCCGCCCGTGCACCCTCCTTGCCGGCACCAGGCCGTTCCGGCGGGTGCTGCCGCTGCCCTCGTGCCACTGGCAGGCGATGGTGAGCGAGTGGTGTTGCCACGGCGGGGGTGCCCGCGTGGACTCGCTGGCACGCACCCCCCTGGGCCCCCGTGCGGGCGACTGCCTCGTGGGCGACACGCACCTCGTGCTGCACGCTGGCAGCCTGGGAACGGCGGTACGAGTCGCTCGCTTGCAGGCACGCCTGTTGGCTCGCTCGCTCGATCGATTGCTCATTCAATCGCTCGCTCGCTCACTCGCTCGTTGGCTCGCGCGCTCACGGACTTGCCCGCTCGCTCCATCCCTCGCCCATTCACTCGCTCGTTGGCTCGCTCACTTGCTCACGAGCTCACCCGCTCACTCATTCACTCGCTCACTCCATCGCTTGCTCAATCACTCATTGGCTCGTGCGCTCACTTACTCACTCGCTTGCATGTTCACCCCCTCGCTCCATCACTCAATAATTCACCTTGCTCGTTTGCCCGTTTGCTCACTTGCTAACTTGCTCGCTCACGCGCTTCCCCGCTCTCTCGCTCATTCGCTAACTCACTTGCTCGCTCACCACGCGCTCGCACACCCTGATTTATGATTCGTCTTCTTTGTTTCTAGGCTGCACACACACTTCTTCTGCCTGATGATGGCGTTTCAAGTTCACCCCCCCTCCCCACCGCCGTCTCTGCCAGGTTCGGTGGCACCGCGACGTCGCTTCGGAAGTCGCGGCGCCGGACTCCGACCTCGGCGCCCGTCCCGCGGCCCCGCTGGAGAGCGGCGACCCCTGCCGCCACCCCCAGCGCGGGGCAACCGGCGCGGTGGGCGCCGCCGAGGGAGAGGGGCGGCACGCGGAGGGTCGGAGGTCGCCGCTGCCGCCGCCACGCCCGCCGCTGGGCAAGGCCAAGGCCGAGTTGCGGTGCGAGCAGTGCGGCCGTGTGCTCGGGGAGGCGCTGGGAGCAGGTGAGACATACGACGTTTCGGGCAATGGCCCTTGTTCAGACGAAAACCCACACGTGTGTGTTGATGTACACGTACCAGGTAAGGCCCACTTTGCTTGATGATTCTTTTTCAGAAGTGACCTGACCACGAATGACAGCGCAACGAAGTGGCTTATCGTCACGTGGAAATTTACAGCAGCCAAATGCTCTAAACGCGTGTTTCGAAACCGGTCGTGGGCTTTCGCGAGGTTCGATGATGATGATGACGACGGTGACGTCCCACCGATGGTTGTGTCGCACCGCAGAAGGCGCCAAGTTGTTCCTCACCGAGGTGTGCGTTGGAGGAGTTGAGGAGACACTGCCGCCTCCGCACTCTGCCAACCCGAGGTGACGGCTCCTTACGAGCCCTCGCAAGAACGCGCGTGCGTGTGTGTGTGCGCGCTCACAACAACGAGCGGAGCGCCGGGTGACTAAAGCACAGCAAGTTGGCACAGTATGGGGCACAGGTGGTGCATCGGCCAGTAATCTCAGTCACCTCAGTCAGTCGACCCGTGGCACCTGGGTCTGCCCTGTGACCTGGCAGCGGGCGTTCGACACTTCACGTGGCCTCAAGGTGCACATGGCCTGGCATAAGCGTCATGGTGACGTCACCGCCACTTAGTGGCGAATGGCGGTTGTTGTTGTGTGCGCGCGTGCATGTGGGTGAGCGTGGGGAGCGGTGGTGTAGCGGTTGGCGCGCTGCTCTACGAACTCGGCGACCCGGGTTCGATTTCCGCTCACGGCCGATACCAGTGACGATTATCTGAACCGGTTCTGAGCCTCCCCTAGGTCGACTCAGCCTCAAATGAGTACCTGGTGCGGTGTGTAGACATCGCCACTGGGGAGACAAAGGCGGCCGGGCGTGGTGCTGGCCAGCCACCCCCTCGTGTGCCGTACCGGCCTTCATAGGTGTTCGCTAACAGCACTTGCCCCAAACAGTCTGTTAAGGCTACACGGGGGATATTTGTCTTTTTTTCGTGTGTGAGTGTGGCTGGAGCGGTGGCGCAATGGTTAGCGCACTGCGCTGCTAACCTGCTCACGGCCAACACCAGTGACGAACATCTCCTGGGTTGACCCTCCATCAAATCCGTAAACATCAGCACCGGTTGAGATGAACGTGGCCGGAGTGATGCCAGCCACACCGCCACCATCTAGAGCCAGCGCCGGCCCCTTCATAGGTGCTCGCTAACAGCACTTGCCCCAACGTGCTAAAGGCTACACGGGGTGGCGGCGACCTTTGTCTTGGCGTGGTCGCAGGTCGTGGTTCCTGGAGCGGCTGCTGTCCCAGCAGCTGCTGCTCATCTCCACGACGCTGTGCAGCTACCGCTTCCGCGTCGAGGACCCGCGGGGCGACACGAGACTGCTGGTGAGCCCGGCGAAGGGTGAAGCCGCCGGAGGGAGGACCGGTTCGGAATCTGAATCGCGACGTTGATTTTTTTTTTTTTAAACCCCTTTCCCCCGGAGATGTCCGATGAGCTGTGAGGGACATTTTTTTATTACACGCTTTTAATTAACTCACTCTGTCTGTTGTTGTCGTATCCTCAAAAAATCTTGTAACTCAATTTTTACCCACTTCCCAATGTCGTATCGACTACAAACTTGGTATACGTATGTCATACTGGTGACAATACTATATTCTATCATTAAAAAAAATAAAAATATTTTTAAACAATCTTTTTATATGTTATGTTCCGGCTTGGGTCTAATTGTCCACGCTCAACTCACGTTGGCTGTAAATCACCACGCTGCAAATTATCCGGCGAGTCGTCACCATCGTGTTGCTGGCTCCCCATCCCTTCTGCCCCCCCCTCCCTCCCCCCAGCTGTGGGTGCTCAACAGCGACACGCTGCTGCTGCAGCAGAGTCCCCGTGGCGGCGGCGGTGAGTCCGTGGCGCCGCAGTGCCACCGCGTCCTCAAACTGCTCTACCGCCACGCGGGAGGAGACGCGGCCACCTCGGCCACTTCGGCAGGCCGGTGGGTGGCAGGGCCCTGGGGCCGGTGGGTGGCAAGGCCCTGGGCCACGGAGGCCCTCAGCCGCGACCACCCACCGCGTCTCCCCGTTTGGGTCGCGTGCGGCGGCACAGTTCGCGCTCGGCACGCCGGGGCTGGTTTAGAGGTTGTGCACCGCGCGTGGCTGAGATGTTAACTCCCTCGCCCGGTATACAGGAGGTCGAAGGCTCGATCCCAATCCTGACGCCTGCTGCTGTATATTTGGGGTTTGATTGTCTCTCCTCGTGGTCGTGTGGATTTTTCTCCGGGTCCTCCGGTTTTTCTCCTCCACGTTTTGAGTCGACGTGCGTTTTAGCGTTTTAGAGTATTTTCCTGCTATAAATTTCCACGTTACGAGCCACTTCGTTGGGCTATCGTTTGTGGCCAGGTCGCTTCTGAAAAAGAGCGACGTAGCTCAGTGTGGGCCTTACCTGGTAAAATAAAAAGTTTTATTTTTAAGAATCCGTGTTCTAAAAGAGCAACCCTGTTCCCCCTCCTCTCCCGACCTCTGACCTGGCCCACGCCTTCACCCTCGGTGGTGGCGGTGACGCGGCCCCCCCCCCCCCCCCCAGCGGTCGGCCGCGTTCGCCGCTCGCTGCAGAGGCTTCGCGGTTCGAACCCGGCGGCTGCCCTGGTCAATGCTGCGGCGGTGGCGCCACCGTCGTATTAGCCGTAATGAGACGGCTGCAACGCGCGGGTCCGCTTCGCTCTGGAGTGGACGTCAAAAGATCCTGCTCGCCGTCGTTCGCAAAGCCTAGTGCCGGTGTGATGGTCCACATTTGCCTAATTAGCTTCAAAAAATTACACCGCACATTGGGACGATACACAACGAGCAATCATCGGCCCCGTGGCTGCGAAAACTTTGGGGCCGGACCCTCCTGGGAGTCGGGAGTTAAAAAAAAAAAACTCGGCGAGGCTCGTATTCCAAACCAGACTTTCCTGGTTAAACAAGTAGAATAATAAATGATAACAATAACACACCCCCCACCGCCACCACCACCCACAGCTCGGCGCTCCCAGTCCCCCCGTGCCTCACCCCCTCCCGCCTGTTCCTTGTTGACGAATCGCCGTGCGCACGAGCGGCGGGAGCCGTGCTGTGCGCCGTTGGAGGCGTCTGCCGCGGGTTATTCTTCTGCGCACTTTCGTTTTTTTGCTCGCTCGCTCGTTCGCCAGCTTAGCGGCGAGCGAATTGAGCGAGCGCTCCGGTCCCACCGCTCCGCTCTGACCTTTAGCGTCTCGCTCGTTTGTTATCGTCTCCGCCCGTCGGAAGGGACGGCAGAGTAAACAACGTTCTCCGAGCGACCGTTAAAGCTGACGTGCGTCGGCGTGTGCGCGTGTGTGCGTGCGTGCGCGCGTCAGTATAAACATCGTCACTGGGGAGACAAAGGCGGCCGGGCGTGGTGCTGACCACCCACCCCGTCATGTGCCGTTCCAGCCTTCATCGGTACTCACTAACAGCACTTGCCCCAACAGTCTGTTAAGGCTACACGGGGGGTCTTTGTCTTTCTGTGTGTGGGCAGCGGTGGTGTCGCGGTTAGCGCGCTGCGCTGCAAACCCGGCAAAGACCCGAGCGTGGTTCCCGCTCGTGGCCACCACCAACACCGGTGACGATTATCTAAACCGGTTCTGGGCTTCCCCTACATCGACTCGGCCTCAAATGAGCTACTCGTGTGATGCGTAAATATCGTGGGAGACAAAGGCGGCCAGGCGTGGTGCTGGCCACCCACCTCCTCGTGTGTCATTACCGGCCTTCATAGGTGCTCGTGAACAGCACTTGTCCCAACAGTCTGTTTAAGGCCACACCGTGGAGGGATGTTTGTGTGTGTGTATAAGCTGGCCGTGTGTGTGTATGTAGTGTACGTACGTTTGTCAGCAGAGGGCAGCGCAGAAAATAGTTTCCTTATGCTGCTAAATGTATGCTCCCCACCTTCACCCACCGTCAGTGCCCAGCGTGGTGAAGAAGTGTCGTCACACAACCTCATCCGGTAGTGGATTGGCAAATGGCCTCTACATTTACGCATGCACACATGGTATCATCATCATTATTATTATCATTACGCTTACTTGCCCTGAAAGCAAAGCCTCGCTGAGTCTCAAGACTCTTTTTCAGGAGGGTCCTGCCGGGTATTCGCAGCAGGAGATCGATATTGCTGCTGCTGCTGCGTGATTCCGATTGAGGAGTTTGCAGGCGATCTTTCCCCATTTGGGGTGCTTTGACCGATACCGGTTCCATAGTGGGTTGCTTTGCTGCTGTGTTGTAATCTGTTGGAGGAAATCGGAGAACCCGGAGAGAAACCCACGCAGAATGGGGAGAGAGTGAGAGAGAGCACACATGACTGTATGTTTGGAGATGTCTCTCTCTCCCCCCATGGTCGCGTGGATTTTTCTCCGGGCCCTCCGTTTTTTCCCCTCCACATTCATAATTGACACGTGTTTTAGAGTATTTCGCTGCTATACATTTCCACGTGATAAGCAACTTCGTTGAGCTATCCATTTGCGATAGCCAAGTCGCTTCTGAAAGAAGAGCTACACTGCTCAGTGAGCCTTACCTGGTTAAATAAAAAGTTTAGTTTTCGTTTAGTTTACCACGGTTTGGTTCCGGCTCTGTTCGGCAAACAGGGCCCGGTGGAACAAAAACAACCGTGCTCCGAAAGCCCCGTGCCGGCTCGGCTCAGATGTGCCAGTGGAAAAAGAAGCGCGTGTTATACCCCGAGCATTGCATTGCATCTCTTCCACTGTTAGGGCTGCGAATCGAATCGGCGTCCCAGTGCAAGCTTGCTCAACGTGCCTGCCTGCGTCCCCCTCCGTGTCTCTCCGCTAGCGTCGCGGTTCGCGCGCTGCTCTACGAACCCGGCGACCCGAGTTCAATTCCCGCTCACGGCCACCAACATCTGAACCGGTCCTAGGCCTCCCCTAGGTTGACTCAACCTCAAATGAGTACCGGGTGCGGTGTGGAGTAAACATCGACACCGGGGAGACAAAGTCGGCCGGTGCGTTGTGCTGGCCACCCACCCCCGTCGTGTGTCGTGCCGGCCTTCACAGGTGCTGCTCGTTAACAGCACTTGCCCCAAAACAGTCTTCTGAGGTTATCTTTGTCTCTGTTGGTGGCCCGTCCGTGTGTTTCTGCGTGTCACAGCGAGGACGAGCTGTGGGCACGGGACGTGAAGGCCCACGACCTGTGCCTGCCCAGCGGTGCGTGCGCCGAGCTCTCCGCTGTGCTTAGCGCCAGCTCCCAGCTCGCTCCGCCCTCGCTCCGGGACGTCAACAACTTCCGGGTGAGGATGATCGCTCTCCCCGCGCCTCCTCCTCCTCCTCCGCTCTCCTCCAGCTCCCGTGTCTCCTCTGCTCTAGCTCCCGTGTCTCCTCTCCTTCCCGTGTCTCCTCTCCTTCCCGTGTCTCCTCTGCTCTAGCTCCCATGCCTCCTCCAATTCCCATCCGGCGGGAATGACAACGAAATAATAATAAAAGTAGTAGTAAAATTACGAACTCCACGGCCGCCAAAGCAATGAAAGCGATAACTCCTCCGCCGATAATGCAGCCGCTCTCCACGCCACACCCCCCCCCCCCCCCCCCATTGCGTTCATGCGAAAATAATTTAGCGTTCGTGTGCATGCGTGTGTAGCAGTCCGCACGCCGCGCTACCCGGCGGCCCCGAATTCGATTCCCGCTCACGGCCAACGCCGTTGACGGATTTTCTGAATCGATCCCAGGCCTCCGCTAGGTCCACTCGGCCTCGAATGAGTTACCCGGTGCGGTGTGCAGTAAACATCGCCACTTGGGGAGGCAAAGGCGGCCGGGCGTGGTTCTGAACGCACCACTCCCGTCGTGTGCCGTGCCGGCCTTCATCGGCGCTCGCTCACAGCGCTTGCGTTCTGTTAACGCGGGCCGGGGATCTCCCCCTGAGCGCGTGCGCAATTTCATTTCTTGCGCCGCTTGTTTTCGATGGAGGCGAAGCGATGTTGAGACATTAATCACACGTCCCTTCGGTTCTACCGCTCCGCAGGGAGGGGGGGGGGGTGCAGGCGACACAGAGCCTAGGGTCCAATCGCCCGGGATGATGACAGATCTAGGCACTTGTTTTTTGTCCGAGTCGACCTAGGGGAAGCACAGGACCAGTGTGCGGACAACGCTCGTCGCTCATGTTGAGCTGCCGGGATTTTTCAAAGGGCCGTGCGGTCATTGCTGCGCCACCGCTCCCCTCGTAGACACGGGTGCGCTCACACGCAAAGTAGTGTGCGCGCGTGCGTTTGCGCGCGCACGTGCGGGTATACACAAACACGTACACACTGGTGTAAAGCACACGCGCACACACACACACACACGACCTCCATGGGTGGCTGGGCGAGTGGCTGGCTGGGTCTGTGAGTGGCTGTGGGTGCTTGGTTCAGTGGGCCGGTTGCTGGGTGGGTGTCTGGGTGGGTGTCTGGGTTGGTGTGTAGATGTCTGTATGTGTAGGTGTCTGGGTGGGTGTCTGGGTGGGTGTGTAGGTGTCTGGGTGGGTGTCTGGGTAGGTGTCTGGGTGGGTGTCTGGGTGGGTGTGTAGGTGTCTGGGTGGGTGTCTGGGTTGGTGTGTAGGCACTGTGGTGACATCACCGTCACTTTGTGGCAAATGGCGGGTACTGGTTATTATTGGGTGTGTAGGTGGCTGGGTGGCTAGATGCAGCATTCCTGGATGGGTTAGGTGGCTCATTGTGTAGTTGACTGAGTGGGCAGGTTGCTGGCTGGGTTGATAGGTGGGTGGGTATGTTACTGGGTATCTCGGTAGCTGGCCTGGGTAGCTGCGTGGGGTAACCGGCTGGGTAGGCGGGAACGGTTGTCAAAGGGGGACACGTGAAACAGCACCGCCTTGGAAGTGAGATCACGCCCCCCTGGGGCCGCTTCGTTCCTCGCCGAGGGAGAACCCTCCGCCGTTGACGCACGCACGCGCAACCGCGTGCGTGCGTCACGTGCATCGCGGAATTGGGACACGGGAGTGGGGGGGGGCTCAACAGGGCTTCTAGCAACGACGAGCCGAGGCCACGCCGTGGCCACGCTGTTGCCCCCGGCTCTGCGGGTTTCTCCGCTCCACGCCTCGGTGCGCACCGCGAGCCTCTCATCCGGTCTCCACGCCCACGTACCGTTAACCCGGCCCCCGCTCGCATCAGGAGGCGCGCGGGCGGGCTGGCGGGCGGGCGGGCGGACGATCGCCAACTCTCAACAACGGTGATGGGCGCCACGGGTGGCGAGATGTTAACTCCCTCGCCTGGTATACAGGAGGTCGAGGGTTCGAGCCTGACCCTGATGCCGACTGTATATTTTGGAGTTTGCGTGTCCCTCTCCCCGTGGTCAGGTGGATTATTCTCCGGGTCCTCCGATTTTTCTCTCCACGTTTAGAAACACGGGTTCAGAGTATTTTAGCTGCGATACGTTGCCACGTTCTAAGCCACTTCGTTGAGCTATCATTTGTGGGCCAGGTCGTTACTGAAAAAGAGCTGCATAGCTCAGTGGGCCTTACCTGGTTAAAGTAAAAAAAATGTGGAGCAACTGATATAATTTTATTACGAGGCAGTTGATGAGCCCCAGGTGATTGCATCGGGGAGTGGAGGAATGTTGCATCATCGCGGTTGATGATGATGCCTCCTTCATAGGGATCTCTTGGTCGGAGTCTGTGGGTCCCTATGTGAGTTCGTGGTTCTGTACGCGAATCTATAGATGTTTTATATATAACAGGGTCTCTATGCAAGTGTGTGGGTTTCAGTGTGAATCTATAGATTTGCCTTCTTCTCTTTCACGTGGCTGATGTTTATGTCGAGAGCAGCAGCAGCTGTGATTTTACATCGAGGGGGTTTGATGATTGCGGAGTCAGGAGTAGCAGAGTGGTGCGTCGTCGCTGCTATTACGATGAAGCATCCTCCTCCGTGTTTGTGCATCGGTGACATCGAGCGCGCATTCTACGCTCCGTGGCTGTGTTCTCGGTAGTGATCACAGTCTTGGCACACCGGGACGCTCTGCCGTGGCGCACTGGTCAGCGCTTTGGTCAGCTCAAGCTCTGCTATCCTCTATATATTAAGGTGGTATTCGCCATTGAATAACGAGTGTTTGTGCATGTGGGAGGAAGCCAGAGCAGTGGGATGAAACACTCGAGTGCGAGGGGGAAACACTCTTTCCCATGCCACCGTCACCATCATCACCGCCGATGGCACCACCATCGCCACCACCGCCACCATCACCGCTGCCACCACCACCGCCACCACCGCCACCACCACCGCCGTTACCACCGCCGGCACCACCGCCACCACCGCCACCACCGTTGTCACCGCCACCACCACCGTCACCACCACCACCACCACCGATGGCACCACCGCCGTCACCACCGGTGGCACCACCGTTGCCGCCACCACCGTTGTCACCGCCACCATCGTTGTCACCGTCACCGCCACCACCACTGCCACCACCGTTATCACCGCCACCACCATCGCCACCACCATCGCCACCACCACCGCCACCACCACCGCCACCACCGTTGTCACCGCCACCACCACCGTTGTCACCGTCACCGCCGCCACCACCACCATGCCGCTGTCTCTTCATCTCAATCTCATCGTCAATGCCGAGACACGGCCGTGGCGCCCTCCTAGCAAGAGACGCGTTGTGCCCACGCCCGCTGCCAATTACCTCCCCTCCCCGCTCCCCCCCCCCCCACCTCATAAATACAACAAAACCACAGCGCCAGCGTGATTACAGTGACCGAACCGTCCCATTACGCTCGAGATAATGAATCTTGACGGGGCCACACGGCACAGCAAAACAAATTAGCGGGGAAGCGTGTGCATGAGAAAAGTGCGTTATCGATGGCGCCGTTCTCCCGCCGCAGGATCATTCCGAGTCTTTGGGGTGTAATTACGACAACAATGACACTAATGAGAATAGCGAAGGCAAAGGCGCAGGCCTGCAATTGCGTACTCGCTCCACGGCTGGCAGAAGAGCGTCTCCCAACGGGGAAAGCTCTGGAGAGCCCCCCCCCTCTCTCCCCGCCCTTTTTAGGAGAGTCATTTCTGGCTTGTTCTCTCATTTTTCATTTGCTTGTTGTGCGCGCGTGCAACGTAGCCAACCACTTCCATGGGATTTGATCCTCGTATATATATATCTATAAAATTAATGTGCAACGTTGTGGGTAGCTGTCGGCACGAATGACGCCATATGTTCAATGAAAGCATCATTGTTATGATCATTACATCGGCCGGGCGTCCCGGAAGAAGAGGTGGCAGTACCCCACACTTTACCCCGCCACGCGGTGACGGTGACGACGATTCGGCGTGCGTCGCATGCAAGCTGTCGGCACAGATTGCGGGGGCATGCGGGAAAATAACCAACCCCCCCCCCTCCTCCTCGCTTTTCCAATCCGGTGGGAATAGTTTTGTTTTAATGAGGACTAAGGCGCAGCCCCCGCAATGTCTCCGCTTCGCGCCACCGCTGGCGAAAGGGGCAGCCGCCCGAGGGGAGGCTCAAGAGAGGCGGCCCAGTCTATAGCGGGCGTCGGGCCTACCAGGGAAAGGCCTGCTCGAGTCTTTCAGGAGCGGGGGGTGGGGGGGAAGAGCGCTGCGCCACTATTCGGGGATGTTTTTTGCCGCGAATTCAGCGAGCAACGGGAAAGTTTTGGATCCGCGTGGGGGGAGGAGGAGGGAGGAAAACCGGAGAGACCCCCGAGGACACCCAGCGCTGCGTCGCTGCTGCGGGCGAGGGGGGCGACACTCGAGGCCACGCACGCTCGGGCGTCTTGGAAGATGCGGTGGTGGTGGGAGGAGGGGGGGGGGGGAGTGCACACACTTTACTCCACCCGCCTGGGACACCTGCCGATCGGCGAACTGTTTGTTCGGCAACAAACTCTAAACTTTTTAGCTCGCTCGTCTTTAAACTCGGCGACCTCCTCCCACGATGCACCGCAGAGCAGCCCCCTCCCGGGCCCCGCGCGGTTAATGTCTCGAGTCGTTAGCGATCGCAGGAAGCCTGCCTTGAACGAGCCTTCGGCCTCCCGGCGCTCTGCCGCGCACGCGTAGAACGGCAGAGGGGCGGCTCGGACACTCCGCGGCAAGCTTGAAGTTTGCAACAACGACGATGACAAGGAAGACGCCGATGGGCGAGCACTTCCCCCGTTCCGAGACGTCGGCACGTCGCAGGGTGCGCTGTCCCGGAGCCCGTGAGCAGTTCGGCGTTCGTTTTTTTGTTTGCAGAAGGCATAGCAGCGCCGCTGTTTGTGAAGACCTTGTGACTCGCCGCGGAGAACCATAGTCGACACGACCGCCGACGCCGCCCTACGATAGCCGGCGCCAAACTGCGTCCCGCACGGCGTCCCGCACGGCGATTCCGTTTGGGATCGGGAAGAACAGCCGATGACGTACGCGTGCGCACGCCGTGGGGACGGGAGAGAGGGTCAATATTTTACTTCCAACTCGTAACGCGACACCGTCGCCGCCGCCGCCGCGCAGGATTCCCTCCTCGCAGAGGGGGAGAGGCGCCAGCAAGAGGCACCACAGAATCAGAGTCTTTATTTCGACTGCAGGATGAATCCGATGAGCTACGAAGCCCTTGTAATAATCATAATTGACATTTATGAGGCGCAATTCATCCGAGGGTCTCGGTGCGCCGTGCACCAAGTGAGGAAATGTAAATAGCTCAAAGTCCAGAGTCCACTGGTCGTGCATGGCAAGTGTAGGTCAGGCGAAACGGGCGAGTCTTGTTCACAGGTGTCCAGTATGAGCAGTAGCAACGGCCACACGATGGTGAGGAGTCACCGCCACCAACAGTCGCCCCCCAAGCTCTGCGATTCTCTGTATACGAAGGTGTTGTCGGCCGATTAGTGCTTGCGTGCGCGAGGAAACCAGGGCGCCCGGAGAAAACCCCACGAGTGCGAGGGTGCAACGCTCGATCTCATACAGATTGAACAGGTTGAGTCAACAACCCGCTGTGTGTACCGCCTTCTCTTGGGCGAGCTAGGGCACGTGCACCTCCCTGATGCCCACGGGTGAGAAGGGAGTTTCACAACTTCTGTGTGCGGCGATCCACGAACCCCCCGCGCTGCTGCCCTCGCTGCGCCGGATTGCAGGCAGCGGCCACGTGCGTCAGCGTAGCCACCACCACCACCACCACCACCGTCGATCGCCGCCCGGAGCTGATGATGCTGTTCACTTGCGTGGCGGATGGAGTTTGCTCGTGAGCGCTCGCATTCACGGTGCGCAACGCAGGATCGTCGCCGCTGCCCGCCGCCGGGGAGAATACGAGCACCAACACGGATGAGCGACGACAACACCTGCCCCCCCCCGTCTCTCTCGGCGTCAAAGATTTCTATGAAAGCAAAAAACAAACCCCCCAATGTTTAATGTTTACACGAGGAGACGCATGCAGCCCGAAACAATGCGTGGGTCGCCGCACTGCCTACGGCTCATGCTGGAGTCGGAGCAGCAGCAGCAGCAGGAGAAGCAGCAGGAGAAGGAGAAGCAGGAGAAGGAGAAGCAGCAGCAGGAGGAGGAGCGGGCGAGCGTTTGTGCTGCGAGTCGTTTACCGGGTACCCCTCCGCCACAGGTCTTGACACGCCACTTAATGGAGGTCGCGACCTCTCCTTTACCCAGAACTCCCTGCCCGCAATCCCGCGGGTCCGCGCCCCACCAAACCTAATTTTTGGCACTCCGGCTGCTCCCCCCCCTCCCGTCGTGCCGTCTTGAAAATGTTGGCAACGTCACTGCCCGGAGGAGGAGGATGTGGCGGTGGTACGCGACGGTGCGACAATGTGTCCCGATTGAGCGATCTAAATCGATTTGTCGTGCGTATGCGCGTGCGTGGCGTGTCTGTGAATTGCTATTCCTATATATACCCGTGGTGAAGTATGATCAAACGACCACACCCCCCCTCCCCCCCTCCATGATGACCTGCTTGGCATGGGGAAGTGTCGGTTCAGCATGAGAGTGACACGATCCTGTGTGTTCACGTGTTTGGCTGTGGCGTTAAAAGTTAAAACCCTTGGACGTGACACAGAGGCCCCCTTGCAAGCACTGTTAGCGAGTGCCTATTAAAGCCGGCAAGGGCACACAAGGGGGGGGGGGGAGCAGTGTGGCCGGCCGTGCGACCTTTGTCTATCCGTGGTGCCGACATTTACACCGTGCACCAGGTACTCGTTGTTTTTTTTTAAAGGCTGAGTCGACCTTGGGGATGCCCAAGACAGGATTAGATGTCCACCACCGATGTTTCTAGCCGTGAGCGGGAATCGAAACCGCAGGGCGCTCAAACCACTGCACCTCCGCTCCCCAATGCATACATGCAAAGGTAAAGATCCCCCACCGCCCCGTATAGCCTTAACAGACTTTTGGGACAAGTGCGTTGAGCGAGCACCTATGAAGGCGGGTACGGCAAACGAAGGGGGTGGGTGGCCAGCACCACGCCCGGTCGCCTTTGTCTCCCTAGTGGCGATGTTCACACATCGCACCAAGTACAGACTTGAGGCCGAGTCGACCTAGGGGAGGGCCCAGATAATCGTCACTCCTGTTGACCGTGAGCGGGAATCTTTAGCCGAGCTCGTCGCGCAGTGCGCTGACCGGCACGCCTTCTGCCGCGATAAGTAACATCCGCACAGACGCGCACACGCATTGACGTACGCGCGGTGCCAATGGCGCGCGTGCCCAGGTACGACACGCGCTCGCCGCTCGCCTCACCTGTGCAAACGGAGGAGCTCGGCGTACCTGCAGCTGGTTCACCGGGGCGGCGTGCCGGAGTCCGAGCCGTGCGCCTCCGTGATGGACGGCGAACGCACCACCGCTGAGCCGCATTTTTCCCACCCCATGAGTGTCTCTCTCCACCCCCCCCCCCCCTGTTGTTTTCATCTCCCCCTGCTCCTTACAGGTCGGGCACTTGAGGCTGGCCTAATGGACGTGAGACCCTCCCCCATATGCAAGCGGCGTCATCGCTCTCTCTGAAGAGGGACCCCCCCCCCCCCCCGAGTGCGCGCTGGGTGACAAGGACGTCCACCGATTCAAGTCTACGGTGGCTCAGAAGTCGGCGTCGCCCAGCCGGCCCCATTGACAAGCCTGGGTTCGAGTCCGGGTTTCGGTCATCCGCGAACAAACCGGGAGCTGGGGCTTAGTGAGTTGATGGTCTCGGCCCGGCACACCACAAATGGCTGCATCAACAACAACAACAACAAAAACCATCGCATTCAATTTGGTTTTGCATTGACTTTGTCGACATTCCAGCTGTTGAGACATCAATTGACTCGGTCTGGCTGTCACCTGATGAACCTCGCTGTCACGTGGCAGAGCTGGGTGGGTAAAAGTGCTGCCCTCTGCTGTGTGTGGACCATAAATCACTTGAAGAAGGCATCTCGGAGGTGGCTCTGCGACATCCGCTTCCCCGGGCCGCTCTCGGGTAACACGAAGCGTCGCGCTGCTCTGCGAGATCTCCGAATGGATTCTCCGTCTCGTGATGACGACGCAACACCAATAGCGCGATCTGTAATAAAACGGAGGGGGGAGGGGGGGGGGTTTGGGGGAAAACGACAAAATGAAATAAATGTAAAACGAAAAAAATCCACGTCAGTCTTTATTTCGTGAATCCGCGTTCACCACTAAGAGTCTCCAAGACAAAAAAATAAAAACGTGAGAAAGTCTAATTGAAAATAAAATGTCACCAACTCCTTTCCCCGTGGGTGTCTAGGGGGTAGTCATACCCTGGCTCGCCAGGAGAGGGCAGTGCAGCGACAATGCGGACGCCACCTGCTCCGTCGGCGTGTAATATCGAGCGTTGCGCCGTCGCACGCGTGGGGTTTCTCATGCGTGCGTGGTGGACTTTGGCCCCCGGTTCAGTGCCGGTGATGTCGGGGAGAGTCGGACGGTTGTCAGGTTCGGTGTCTAGTTGGTGGCGCTGCTGCTGCATTCGGCAGGACGTGCACCAGCACAGTCGGCAACACAACTTTGTTTGCGTGTCATGAAGAAGGGCGGTTGCCTGAAACGTCACCAGTTTCCTTTTGAGGACTGTCCCCCCCCCCCCCCTCCAAAAAAAACATGCTTAAAATCGCTTTAAACTATTGTCATTGTAAGTGATGCATTTTGATGTGACGTCACATTTCTCAACCCTTCCCCCCCCCTTCGTCACACATCGTCACAAATGTCTGACCCCCCCTCGGTGCGTGACGTCATTCATGGACGGCCCCATGGTTGTCAATCCATCCATTTCAATAGGGGCAACAAAAACAGATAAGGCACCACTGAGCTACATTTTTTTCATAGAAACGACCTGGCCACAAATGAAGGATCAAGGAAGTGGCTTATCATCATGTGGACATTTATAGCAGCAGGCAAATACTTGAAACGGATTTTGTTGAGTCTAAATGTGGGAGGAAGAACCGGAGGACCCGGACAAAAAATTCCCACGCGACCACGGGGAGAGCGAGAGACACCGCAAACTCCAAATATACAGCAGCAGCAGGCGTCAGGATCGGGATCGAACCCACGACCTCCTGCAAATCAGGCGAGGTAGTTAACATCTCCTAGCCACCGTGATGATGAGAGAGAGAGACACCACAAACTACAAGTATACAGCAGGCGGCAAGGTCGGGATCGTACCCACGGCCTCCCGTTTACCAGGCGAGGTAGTTAACATCTCATACCCACCGTGATGATGATGAGAGCGAGAGACACGCAAACTCAAAATATACAGCAGGCGTCGTCGGGGTCGAGATCGAACCCACGACCTCCTGTATACCAGGCGAAGTAGTTAACATATCATAGCCACCGTGATGATAGTGAGAGAGAGAGACGCAAACTCAAAATATACAGCAGGCGTCGTCAGGGTCGGGATCGAACCCACGACCCCCTGTATACCAGGCGAGGTAGTTAACATCTCATAGCCACCGTGATGATGATGAGAGAGATGCAAACTCAAAATATACAGCAGGCGTCGTCAGGGTCGGGATCGAACCCACGACCTCCTGTATACCAGGCGAGGTAGTTAACATCTCATAGCCACCGTGATGATGATGAGAGAGACGCAAACTCAAAATATACAGCAGGCGTCGTCAGGGTCTGGATCGAACCCACGACCTCCTGTATACCAGGCGAGGTAGTTAACATCTCATAGCCACCGTGATGATGATGAGAGAGACGCAAACTCAAAATATACAGCAGGCGTCGTCAGGGTCGGGATCGAACCCACGACCTCCTGTATACCAGGCGAGGTAGTTAACATCTCATAGCCACCGTGATGATGATGAGAGAGACGCAAACTCAAAATATACAGCAGGCGTCGTCAGGGTCGGGATCGAACCCACGACCTCCTGTATACCAGGCGAGGTAGTTAACATCTCATAGCCACCGTGATGATGATGAGAGCGAGAGACACGCAAACTCAAAATATACAGCAGGCGTCGTCAGGGTCGGGATCGAAACCACGACCTCCTGTATACCAGGCGAGGTAGTTAACATCTCGCCACCGTTGCACCCAGCGAAGTGTCTCCCATACGCTTGCCAATCGCAGCGACTGCCAGCAGAGAGTTGAACGCGGCGTGACCGCGAGCTTGGGGCCGATTTTAATGAAGAATCATTCACCTCCACACAGCAGGCCCCTGGTGGGGGCGAGGGGGCAGGGAGCGAGGGGGGAGGGGGGAGGGGTATTTGGGGGGATGAAAGCGCCGTTCCGCTGACCACAATCTTCTTGGCGGGGGACGCAGAGACAAAGGCCCCCCGTGTAGCCTTTCACAGACCGTTGGGGCAAGTGCTGTTAGCGAGCACCTATAAAGGCCGGAACGGCACAGGAAGGGTTGTGGGTGGTGCCGAGCGCCGAGCCCGCCCGCCTTTGTCTCCCCAGTGGCGATGTTTTACCCACCGCACCAGATACTCATTTGAGGCGGGGCCTCCCCTAGATCGACTCAGCACAAAGGCAAAGAACCCACCCCCGTGTAGCCTTTCGCAGACTTTTGGCGCACGCACTGCACCAGGTACTCATTTGGACGTGGGGGGGGAAGGGGGGTGGATGGGCCTCCCCTAGGTCGACTCAGCACAAAGGCAAAGATCCCACCTTTCGCAAACTTGGCGCACGCACTGCACCAGGTACTCATTTGGACGTGGGGGGGGGGGGAAGGAGGGAGGGGGTGGCTGGGCCTCCCCTAGGTCGACTCGGCACGCACACGCGCGCGCTGGCTGAGCGGCGTACTCAGCGCGTCGAGGTGCGTGGATCACCCCCCCGAAGTTGCCCTGAGACCCGCGAGTCGGAGCCATGCACACGTGGTCGTCACGCTGCGCTCTGCCATGCCCCCGTCTGCCCAGATCAACACCTCCTCATTCCTTTCAGCTGCCACTCTTCCTTGCTTCTTCGTGTCGGAGTCGTTCGTTCGCTCGTTCGGTTGAGTCGTTCTGCGTCTCTTTTTTTTAAAACTTTGCTTTATGTAAACCCCCACCTCTCGCTCACTCTCTCGCTCACTCTCTCACTCACTCTCTCACTCACTCTCTCGGTCACTCTCTCGGCCACTCTCTCGCTCACTCTCTCGCTCTCTCTCTCGCTCACTCTCTCGTTCTGTACGCAGCCCCCCTCGTTCTGCGTCTGCGCCTCTCCCCGCTGCTCTTGATCCACTCTGGTCATCGTCATGGTCGTCACCGTATCTAGATTTGAAGCTTTCGTGATTGCAAGGATTCCTACTCTTAGGTTTTTTCGGTAGTCACGTTGGTAAAAAAAAAAACTGTGATGGTTCCACCTGAGGACGGAGACTTGTGTTGCCTCGGAAACGTCATGATTTTTTATTTTATTTTTATTTTACATTTATTAATTTAATTTTTTTACCATCGTGACTTTACCTAAAAAACCAAAAAATATGAATACTTGCAGTCACAAAAGCTTCAAATCTATAATTAATTTGTCAGAGCTGTAGATAAGGAGTCGGCAGCCTTCAAGAACCTTCAAGACTTCTTTCCTAAGCTGTCTGAGGCAAAGGTCAAAGCCGGTGTCTTCGTCGGACCACAGATAAGGAAGATCCTGGAGTGCAATGAATTCCCCAAGAAGCTCACTAGTAAGGAGAAAGCGACTTGGAGCAGCTTTGTCGCAGTGGTTCGTGGCTTCCTGGGCAACCACAAGGTCGAAAACTATGTGGAGCTGGTTGAGACTCTGGTGAAGAACTACGGCACAATGGGCTGTAGGATGTCCCTCAAAGTCCATATCCTTGATGCTTGATTAATTCAAGGAGAACATGGGAGCGTACTCGGAAGAGCAAGGCGAGCGCTTCCACCCAGGATATACTGAACTTTGAACGCCCCTCACTCCCCTCCCACCGTCTCCTCCCCTCCCCTCCCTCCTCTCCCCTTCCTCCCCTCCCTCTCCTCCCTTCCCTCCCTCCCTTCCCTCCCTCCTCTCCCTCCCTTCCCTCTCCTCCCTCCCTCTCCTCCCCTCCCTTTCCTCCCCTCCCTCTCCTCCCTCTCCTCCCCTCCCTCCCCTCCCTCTCCTCCCCTTCCTCTCCCTCTCCTCCCCTCCCTCCCTCGCGTGAATGCATCCCCGACTTGCGCTCTGAATAGGCCGATGCACGCGGATTACGATTTATTAAATCTGCGGGGGTGGGGGTTGGGTCTGCTTAGGGTTTCTTGAGCACTGAGAATATATCTTTTATTATCTGACTTTGTAGCTGACCGACTTTTAAGTGAAAATCCTCCAAAAGAGAAAGGGGCATTTCTTTTTTTTTACCTCTCGCAGAATCAGAATCTTTACTTAGACTGCTGGAGTAGATGTCCCCAGTAGGGGCACGGGGTCAGGAAGTTACAACAGCAAACAAGACAACAACAACAAACAACAAAAACACGATAGCAGTGAAAAGTATACGAAAGGGAAGATAATCACTTAAACAACTAAAACTAAACTATTTTTTATTTTACACCATTGGAACCTCATTTGCCAGTAAAAAAATATGATAATTGTTTTTTACCCTTCTATCTGGCAACAAAACTGACACCTTTTTTTGCAAGCTGTCTCGGGTGTGGACCAATCAACTTTAAGGACAGTGCACATTATCAGAGTTATGTTTTTTGTTTGCATTATGACTGCAGGTATTGTGGTCTATGCAAACATGACTCCTTGTAAAAAAAAGGTGTCAGTTTTGTTGCCAGATAGAAGGGTAAAAAAACTATTATCAAATTTTTATTTTGACCAGGTAAGGCTCGCTAAGCTATTCGCT